ATATTCGTAAGTTCCAGGAACTATTTCTGACCTTCTAATGGCATTGTCGCATTCGTTATACCATTCGGAAACATTTCCATTCATAGCATCCAAAACTGTTGGCGTTTATATTCTGAGCGGCGTACATTTCATATGAGTAAAAATATAGAATAGTTGGATTTATATGTCATATAGAACCCACGTGACCAAGCTTTACTTTCTTCCTGACTGAGTTTTTAAACTCTTCTTTTTCCTTCATTGCCCTCTGCTTGAAGTTGTTGCATCTTTGCATTATGTTCATCTAGTATGTTGCAAATTTCCCATGTCCTTTTTGCCTTTTGGCTCTGGTCGCCATCTCAGGTAACCTATATCCTAGAAAGAGTTTGTCATAGTCTGTATTTGAGTCTTCGCGTATTGTTTTGCATGACTCTTTCCTGAGTTTCCGGTTCAAGCTCTTCAAACAGTGCCTGTCCATATGGAATATGCTCGTTTCCAAATATATGTTTTGTGAGCCATTCTGGTTTTCTTTCCATGTTACCAACTATATCTTTTGTGAATGGGAAAGCTTTTACCCAATCTTTCAGTCTTGCGTCGTTTATTTCTGTAGTTGGTTTTATTTTGTCAAGGAACATGTTTTTTCAATACTAACATTTCATTTGGTACTGTCCATTGTGAGTTTTCTTAAATATTCATCCCTTCTCGGTTCATTGTCTGCAAAGTAAGTTTTTATGACATTTTGTAAACTTTCGTTTGCAAGGTCATGTACAATAGGTTCTCTTCCTTCTTCTCCTAACTTTCTTTCTAAACTCTTCACCAAATATACCATCTCTATGGTTCTGTGTAGTTCTTTGAGATAAATGTTCTAGGAACGTCAGGTGTTATATTTCCATCAGCCATGTTCATTTCATACTGGTCCAAAATATCTGCATCTTTCATATCTTTCAATGGCATTAAAGCCGCGCTGAAAATACCAGCTATATCTGGTTCACCATTGACTTCCATTGCGTCTACAACTCTTGGAATTGAGGTTGTAAGTTTATGAAACCACCTATCCGGGTTAGCTTTATGACCCCATCTCATTGTAGTTCCATCGTCTGCAGAAACAAAGTAGGTTTTTTCCATCTTGGTTAGGTTCTGAATGAACTTTAAACAATGTTTCATTTCTATATGTTTTCTTGAAATTTAAACCTTTTATCTTCACCGAGTTCATCCGAAGATTGAACGTTAAATGCTCGTAAGTAAAAAGGGTTGTTGTATTTGTGTACATTTTTTTTCAGTTCTTCCATTCTATGCTGGATATTTTCATCTGATGTTGGAGTCTTTTTGTATGTCGGCAAACATTTTTCGATATTCTTCTACTATGTCAGCCGAATTTTTTTTAGACTCTTGGAAATATTCCATATTCTCCGCATACTCTTGTTGAGGGTCAAGATTTTTCCGGCTGTTCCAAAATCTTCATCTAGTTCTGTGAAGTTAGTTTCCAAAGGAAGGGACTTGTTCGTTTCCTTCAGGCTCTTCTAGCTTTTGTTGCTGAACTATTTCTTCCATGTCTGGTTGTATCTGAACTAGTTCTTCCTGTGGAGTTTCTTGTACCTCATCTGCTGGATTTCATATATTCCGAGACCGTTTTCAAAAAGTTCCCTTTCTAAGTCATCCGGACTCATAAACCTTTCTTCTTTCGTTCCGTCTCTATTTTTTACGCGTTTCATGAAGAGAGTTAAATTGTCATTTAGCTCTGACATCAAATATCTCGGAGTAAATTCGTTTCATGTCATTTGGATGATATGCTATTAAATCATATCCTTAGCGAGCTTGTATTTTCCAGGTTTGAAATTATATCCCCTTTGGTGCAGAGCCATAAAGCTAAATAGGTTCGGGTCAGTATTTCCATCCTTGAACTTTTCTAATAGCTTCTTTATATCTGTCACTAAAGTCAATACTATCTGGGTAACCATAGTCTTCTTTAAGCATTTTTAAGAATTCTTGGTTTCCTTGTTTCTACTTCTTTTATGTCCTTGCTCTGTTTGTGGTTGTTGTTGTGCTGGTTGTGGTGCAGTGTTTTGAACTGTTGGTTGTTGTGTTGGTTGTTGTGCTGGTTGTGGAGGTGGTTGTTGTGCTGGTTGTTGTGCATGCCTGTGTCTGTGTCCATGTGACGATGTAAATGTTCTAGGTAGTCCTGGTGCAGGTGCTTCTCTTGGAGGTTTGGTGGTATATAAGTTCCACCAGCTGGCACATATGTTCCATCTGCAGCGTAATGTCCTACCTGACTTTTCGTTTTTAAGAAAGCATTTACTAGGTCTGTTTTGGTCTGTTGTAACTCTTTTTCTTGACTTTTCACAACAGTTGCTCTAACGGCGTCATAGGCACTTTGAACTGCCTGTCTCGTTGCTGCATCTGTTATTTTCGTCATATTTTGTGCTACTTCTTTTAACTCTTTGTCGAAACCTTCAGACTTCAGTTTCTTTCCAGATGAGAAGTCGTTCACTTGTTTCACCTTACTATGAAGAGCTTCGAAAGCGTTCTTAAAGTCAGCATTTTTAAAGCTTCATTTGAACTATCTTCATCCGCTTGTATTTTTGTCCTTATTGACCCTATAAGCTGGGCTGCTTTAGCGTTGGCTTGGGCATCTAACCAGTCATTGTTAGCTTTTATATATTCTGCACTTTTCATTGCCTTTTGCATGGCTGCGTCGTTATTTTTACTTTCTTGTGCTAAGTTTTCATACTGTACGGTTTGGTTTTGCAACTGTAAAAGTTTTTCTGCCTTTACATTTGCTTCAACTTCTTTTTTATACTCATCGCTATCCATATATGTCTTCAGGGCTTTTTGTTTTATCTCTTCATCTTTCAGTATTTTATATTGAGTAGTATGGTTTTTCAAATTTATGACATCTTGTTCCATTTTTGCTACTTCTGCTGCTTTTTCTGACACTTTTTTTGCATATTCCTCTGTACTTAGTTCTTTCAGTTGTTCTTCTTTCTTCTTTTCTCTACGTTTAACTCATTGAGTTTCTTTGTGTGTCTGTCATATTCTAGTTTCTTTTCGTTTTCACTTATTTGCTTCTGTATGTCTATGTTTGACTTTTTGACATCTGTTATTTGATTTTTGAGTGAACTCAAATTCATTTGACTTTGAGGGTTATATGCTGTTCCGTCTGCAGCTCCACCATAGCCTGCCATTTTCGCTAAAAGTGCCGCTCTTAAACCTCCACTCTGTGCACCAACAACTCGGTTTAAAAGCATAGGATTGCTTGACATTTGTTGCAACATAGTGGGGTCATTCATCATTTGTTGTTGCAACTGTTGTTGTGGTGTCAGTTTTACTATTGGATGTTTCAATGCTCTCTTCCTCTTACGTATATTCTTACGTAGCTTACGTGGCATTTTAAGTGAAGTTAAAAAGCGGTTTTTGACAGATGTTTTGTTGTGACTTCTTCATAAAGACTTTGTTGAGATTTCTTCATAAATGAGTGTAAATGACCCAAAAATATATTTTATGTTAGAATGTTAGATCTAACATGTTTTCTAACATGTTTTCTAACATGGTCTAAAACATACAAAACTCATGAAATTTCATACGGAATTCAATAAAAATATATTTTATGTTAGAATGTTAGATCTAACATGTTTTCTAACATGTTTTCTAACATCGTAGAAAACTCATGAATTTCTTCGTAAAGACTTTGTTAAGACTTCTTCATCTAATTTCTCATGAACTTTCTTCGTAAAGACTTTGTTGAGATTTCTTCGTAAAGACTTTGTTAAGACTTCTTCATCTAATTTCTCATGAACTTTCTTGTCTATGTTTTGTTAAGATTTCATCGTAAAGACTTTGTTGAGATTTCTTCGTAAATGACCCTAGTAGTATATTTTTTGGTGTAAATTTCATGAAAATTCACGATGTTAGAAAACATGTTAGAAAAGGTGTTAGATCTAACATTCTAACATAAACATTATTTTTGGTGTAAATTTCATGAAAATTCACGATGTTAGAAAACATGTTAGAAAAGAGGTGAAATCTCACCTCTTCACCTAAAATATATTTTTGGTGTAAATTTCATGAAAATTCAACGGGTGAAAAATTAGGTGAAAAAACAGGTGAAATCTCACCTCTTCACCTAAAATATATTTTTGGGTCCTTTACGCTCATTACGATGAAATCATGACAAAACATTTACGAAGAAGTCTTGACAAAACATTTACGAAGAAGTCTTGACAAAACATTTACGAAGAAATCATGAGTTTTCTACGATGTTAGAAAACATGTTAGAAAACATGTTAGATCTAACATGCTAACATAAAATATATTTTTGGGTCCTTTACGCTCATAACGAAGAAGTCTTGACAAAACATTTACGAAGAAGTCTTGACAAAACATTTACGATGAAGTCTTGACAAAACATTTACGAAGAAGTCTTGACAAAACATTTACGAAGAAGTCTTGACAAAACATTTACGAAGAAATCATGAGTTTTCTACGATGTTAGAAAACATGTTAGAAAACGTGTTAGATCTAACATGCTAACATAAAATATATTTTTGTCTGATTTACGCTCATAACGAAGAAGTTTGACAAAACATTTACGATGAAATCATGACAAAAAAGTCAACGGCTGGTCGGTTGGGGTTCGGTCCTCCTCTTGGGTCTTGGGAAAAATTTCTTATGGGCTAGAGGGCGCAAAGCGCCTGAAAGCCCTCCGAATAAAAACTTCATTTATGTGGGCTAGAAGGGGCGCAGCCCCTGGAAGCCCACCCCAAGAAAAAAAAAACTTCATTATATCAATCATCCTCAGGGCTAGAAGGCACGAAGTGCCTGGGAGCCCCACTACCTTTTTTTTTTTTTTTTTTTTTTTTTTTTTTTTTTTTTTTTTTTTTCATGACAGAATTTTCCCTTCAATCCAAAAATTGAATAGCCTTATACCATTAATTTGTGCGATTTGGTATGCTACCTAGCATAAATGTGTTATATTTATCATTATCTTTTTTTTTTGGAAGACAAAGACGATAAAAAAAATTTAGTTAATGAGCGAGCAGGAAGCAGAACTCCGACCTCGTATTACAACACCATATCTTACCAAGTACGAGCGTGCTCGTGTCCTTGGTACACGCGGTATGCAAATCTCCTTAGGCGCTCCAGTTACAATTGATGCTGGAGATTTAACAGACCCAATAGCAATTGCAGAGAAAGAACTCGAAGCTGGACAACTTCCACTTATCATTCGCAGATATCTCCCTAATCACGAATACGAAGATGTTGCTGTTAAATATTTGATCATTTAAAAATAAAATATGAATAAAATCTAGAGCTTGCTATAATTACTACTTATGATGCTCAATCTTGTGCATTATTTTGCATTAAATAGACTATAAATTAAAAAATTATCATAAATTTTTACTGAGAATAAGAAAAGAAATGGAATATAAATAACATAAAATAATACAAAAAGAATTTAGTAACATTTCAAATACAAAACTCCATATAAATTAATATGATTAACGGTGAGATTTTCCAAATGGCCACCAATTATTCTTATCTCCTTCAAGAAGATCATCAACAGATCTAGTCATGGTCTTAGACTCTGCCATCTTCCTGTTTTCTTCGAGGTTCTCGAGTAATCTCCTCTTTCTTTCTCTTTCTTCAGCTCTAGATGCCTTCAATGCATCTCTAGCGGCCTTCTTCCTGTTCTCTTCGTCGATTCTCTCTTGTTCAGCCTCTGCTTCGCGACGCTTCCTGTTTTCTTCGATTTGTTGAAGCTGAATTTGTTTCAAACGCTCGATTTGTTCTGGAGTCATTCCCTTGTATGCTTGTGTATCCATCTGGCCACGCTTGCCTTCAACGAAGGATCCGCCATTGGCTGCTGCAGCCTCATCGTTAGCTTGAGACTGATTAAGTCTATCAATTGTAGAGTTAATCTCGTATTGATTGAGTTCGAGATCTAAGCGACGATCTTCTTCCTCTCTTGCACGCTTTTCAGCAGCAAGACGAAGATTTTCTTGATTGCATTCTTCGCGCCATTCTTTTCTGGCTTGGTCTTCCATTTCGCCTACCTGTCTTGATATTGCGTTGTATTCTAAGTAACGGCGTTCCCATTCCTTGTCTTCTTCGCGTTCTTTTGCCAAACGGTTTTTCTTTTCAGCGATTTGTTGCTTTCCCCATCTCTCGCGTTGTTCCTTTTGAGCTTTAAGTCTTTCTTCTGCTGTTAAATCTTCACCATCGAATTTGAGACCACTACTGACACTTAACCATGGATCGTTATCTGTTATACGCATTTGAGGCTGGACTTTAATGTAGTCTTTCCTATTCAAATCGTATTCTCTTTCCATTTCTGGTCTTTGACGAGTAGCTCTGAATTCGTTGATATCTTTTTGAATCTGTTTAAGTTCTGCCTGTTCATGAGCAGCTAACTTGGCTAAAAGTTTCTGTTCTGCTAGGAACTTCTGATTGTATGCCTCTTCTTCTTCCTTTTCTGCTTGAAGCCTTGCTTTCTTCTCATCTATTTGCTTCTGAAGCGCATCATAATCCATTCCCATTTGGAGATTTTTCTCATCCATGATGCGTTTAAGGCGCTCTGCATGCTCTCTCCTCCTTCTCTCAATTTTTGCATTCTCGATCTGTTCTATCTGAGAGTGTTGGCGAAGTTCCATTTTTTGAAAATACGTTATTAATTTCCAGTTTGTAACCATCGCTACGTTTTTAACGTACAATTCCATTTTCATTTTGGTGATCATTCACTTCCAACTACGATGGATATCTTATTTATCCACAAAAGAGAATTTTTTCAGATTTATCAACCTTTTTTCATTATGAAATCGGATATTGGAATGATGATTCATAATGGCCAAGTACAGAAGTAATGTATTGCATATGGAGGTTCATTCATTATTATATAAGATTTCAATAAATTTTTGAAATTTAGTATCTACACAAAAGAATTAACATTATCTCGCGTTGTCGATCCAACATCACACAGTTATCTCCAGGCTAACATCAACTCTTTCTCATACTAACACGGCCTTTTTTGATTGAGAGTATTGAAAAGTCCTTATGGCAATTGCTCATGAATTCTTGAATCTAAATAGCCTTAAGACGTTAGCAGATAGTAATTTTATTTCCCAAAATTTGAAATACTAAAGTAATGATATATAAAATATAAAAAGGAGTGATAGGAATTATATAAATTTTTAAAAAACAATCTATAGTTAATTAATCTAATGGTATTGGCTCTAATGTGAGAATTGAAGAAGGGGGCAAATCTGGTATATTCTGGATCTCAGAACTAGTGAAAGAGAAACCAGTAACTTCACTAGTCGGTGATTCCAATGAAAGAGGAGTTGCAGGTGAATCTGTTGCTGGTTCTGCTGTAAATTCTTGGTCAAAGTTGCAGTATGGGTTTGGTCCTTCAGGAGGGATGAAGAATGGTGTATATTTCTTCTGTTTGACCAACTCAAAGTCCAATTCTCCCCAGAAAGGATGACCTTTTAAGTCATTTAAAGTTGCGCGCTTTGCAGGGTCTTTAACAAGTAGTCTGAGAATGAAATCACTTACGAAATCAGGACATTTCGGAATCCTTGGCGGTGAAGAAATGATTGATGTCATTGTTATTCTCTGATTTGGATTAACAAATGGAGTATCTCCGAACAAAATTTCGTATGTGAGAATACCTAATGCCCACCAATCAACTGGATAGCTATATGGCTTCTGTTGAATGATTTCTGGAGCAATATATTCTGTTGTTCCACAAAATGTTGTTGTTTCAGCATTAAAGTTGAGTTCTTTGGACAATCCGAAATCGCAAAGCTTGACATGGCCTTCTTTATCGATTAAAACATTCTCTGGCTTCAAATCTCTGTAAACTACACCAATTGAATGGAGATAATCGAGTGCAATTGCAATTTCTGCGATGTAAAGTCTAGCAGCTTCAAGCTTTAATGTAGTATATTGGTCTAAAATGTGGAAGAGATCGCCTCCTGGAACATATTCCATTCCGAGATAAAATTTTGTAGGATTTTGGAAAGCAAACTTCATCTTAACGATAAAATCATTGTTTGCTTTGAATAGAATATTCCTTTCGGCAAGAATTGTTTGTGTTTTGCCATTATCTGCAAGATATTTCTTTTTAACTATTTTGACTGCAAACAATTCATTTGTTGATGGAAGAGAAACGAGTAAAACTTTTCCAAAAAAGCCTCTGCCAATTGTCGCGATTATATTAAAATTATTCATTGATAATCCTGTAGATTCTGTGTATGTTTCAGCTCTTAAAGCCTGAATCCAAGCGATTGTCAACTCTGGATCATCGGATGTGAGTAAGATCGGTTCTTCATTTGGAATTTGAATTGTAAATTTTCGACTTGTTCCATTGGGTGTATATGATATTACGACTGATGAATCAATATGAATCTCTTTTTTATCAGATCGCTCACTTGTTCCATTATATATCGTTAAAACTCCTTCAATATAGGTGCAAAGGACAGTTTTCCACATTCCTAGGAAACCTGTCTTCTTCTTTAATAGCGAGCTCATTGCAGGATATACATGATCTGAATCCATCATTAAATTTTTTAGACAATGAGAAATCGTAAACTTCACAAATCAAATACCAGTTATTTATAAAAAAGTTGTATAATAGGAAAATATGAGGAAATGAGAAAAGATATAAAATTTTGATAAATGGGCTTTTCTCAAAAATTCAAAAAAAATTCTGATGACTTTTTCGATGGAATTTGCTACTGGCATTAAAGCCAAAATAACTAAGCAAATTTGATAAAAGTACCGCACCGATTGAAAATATCTAATTCAATTTAGAGAACGTTCATGTGGCATGGTCGAGCCATGGATGATGAGAATTTAAGTATAAGTTCTCAAGTCTCTAATTAACAAGAATAACCATACATTCCTTAATTTAAAAGAAGTTCTTTTCTTATTGGCATTGATGCGAACCTCATCAATTCTTCAATTTTATGATGATGTTTCGCTATAACTATTGATGGGATATATACATATTTAGGTAGATTTGAATTTAAAGAAAAATAAAAATAATAAAAATGAAAATTCTTTATATTAACAAACAACATTTTGATCCACTTGTGCTTGGATCATCAAATTTTTCTTCTATATCTTTCTTATAGCTGAGGGCGCATCCCTGAGCGACAGCAGTTCCATTTTCATCAAAATCGGCATCGACAGTGATTCCGATAAAATATTCTTTAATATAATCTAATATGTGATTAATACAGGCACCTCTGCAAAGAACTAAATTAATTTCATTACGTTTCATTTTAGATTTTGCAAAAGCATCTCTAATAACTGCAGGAGTTGAGTCAAATATGTCTTCAGAAGCGCTATAGAACGTATTTCTACGCATTTTATACTCTAAAGTATGATCATTACAGAAATTTTCGATGTGAAAGTCAAATTTCTTAACAGAAGTCATTGCTTCTCTGCACTTCATCGTTTCTTCTTTCAGTCTTGATATGGCTTCGCTACTTGGCTCATCATTTGGATATTTCTGTTTGTATTGATCTAAAACGAAACGTATGATCATTCTGTCAACATTTTCAACACAAAATTCGCTCTTTTTGACAGAAACAATGATATCAAATTGATATCCGGTCATTTTAAGAAAAGTAACAGTAAGACCTGAATATCCGTAGTCAATCATAGCGACAGTAGCATTCTCTGTTTCATCAATTGATTTGTACTTTAACAAAGCAGCTGTAGGTTCTGAAATAAATTTATCAATCTTAATATTTGCTAAATCGCACGCTTCTTTGATCGTTTTCTTATGTGTTTCATCAAATGATGGTGGGATAGCGATTGTTGTCTTCACATCTGATGTAGAATTTGAAACGTTTGAAAAGTTTTTATTAATTGTATTGAAAATGAGAGAAAGCATATATATTAGATTATATTGATTTGGACCTATCTGGATACAATTACTTCCATCTTTTTCTGAAAGATGAAAACCAGCTTTTTCTGCAATATCTTCGAATCTTGATGGATTATCAATTATTGTTTTAAATTTAAACATTGTTTTAGTAGGTATCTTGTAAATGTTTGAAGAGTCTCCGACTAAAGTTTGATTTTCTTCAAAAACAATTCCTGAAAAAAGAGAATCATTTCCATTGAATTGAACATTCCTTGTAAGAGTTTTCTCACCTGTTTCTGGGTTGAAATACGATGCTCGGGTATTGAAAGTTCCTAAATCAATCCCAAGCATTGACTTTTGAAAAGAAAATGCACGTTTTTCAATTCTTTCAAAAAAATATTCTTACATCGTCATATCAAAAATCAAAGTAAAAATTTCATAAATTAGTAGTGTGACTTGAGTACTTCATTTTTTGTCATAATGAAATCGGTTATTATAAATTCAAAGATCAATTGCTGTTGAAATTAAGGCAATATGACCAGATTCTGAAATATCTCCCTAAAACTATATGCATATTGATATGTTCCATAAAAAGATCGATTAATTAAATAAAAATAGGAAATAATATAATTTTATTGCTGTAATTGGTATTTAATAAGATCTGCGTAATATCCACCTTTGGACAGGAGTTCTTCATGTTTGCCAGCTTCAACAATATGACCATCTTTGAAGACAAAGATTTTGTCAGCGTTAATAACTGTAGCAAGGCGGTGTGCAACAATAATAGCTGTCTTGCCTTTCCGGATTTCTTCAAGACTCTGCTGGACCAGCTTTTCACTCTCTGTGTCAAGTGCCGCTGTGGCTTCATCAAGAAGGAGGATTGGGCTGTTTCGCAAAACTGCCCGTGCAATGCAAATTCGTTGTTTCTGACCTCCACTCAAACTTGTCTGCTTGACAATAGTCTTGTACTGATCCGGTAATCCCATAATGAAGTCGTGTGCATTGCCAATCTTTGCTGCATCATACATCTTCTTCTTATCAATGTCAGGATTTGCATATTTGATGTTGTCTTCAATTGATATTGAAAACAGAACTGGGGTTTGAGGAACAATTGATATTTGTGTTCTGAGATAGTGTGGTGACCATGTATTGATGTTGACATCATCAACAAGAATTTCACCACTCTCAATCTCATAGAACCTTTGGAGGAGTTGCAATGTTGTTGACTTCCCACAGCCACTTTCGCCAACAAATGCAACCGTCTCGCCTGGATTGATTGTGAATGATAAATTCTTAATAGCATATGAATCTTGGGATAAATATCTGAACGAAACATCTTTGAATTCAACTTTACCTTTGACAACAAGATCTGGATTATCACATTCTTTCTGATCAACTTTTGGTTTGTGTTCTAAGACCTCAAGAAGTCTCTGTGATGCAACATTAGCTTTCCTGAAGTCTTCAAAAAGAATTAATGCTTGGAATATTGCTTGGATAGAGAAGAGAAGTGATGACATTAAGACCATAACATCACCATTCTTCATATTCCATTGTGGTCTTTTCTTTATAATCCAAACACAAAGATAAAGAAAGACAGCAGTCAAAATATTGACAAATAAGTTAAGAAGACCATCTTTAATGCCTGTAATGATTGATGTTTTGTTCACAACTTTAAGAATTTTGTCAAGAGACGATGTATAATTTTCAGATTCTGTCAACTCCCTGTCAAATGATTTAACAGTTCTAAATGAGTTAATAACTTCTTCAGCTTTCGTGTTTGCGGCATTGGTTGCGTTATTGTAGTCATTCCAAAGTTTTCCAATAAAATATTCACAAATATAAAAAGCTGCAACGCACAATGGAATGGATATTAAAGAAATTAATGTAACTCTCCAAGAATATATAAATGAAAGGATGAATCCAGCAAAGCTTTGTGAAATATCCATAATCATAAGGCTAAGTCTGTCCATATAGATTGAGTAAATCAAAGAACTATCAGTTGTGATCCTATCTAAGAGAGAACCGGCCTGATTTTGATCAAAATATTCTATATCAAATGATAAATATTTTGAAAGAAGTTTAATTCTTATTTGAGTGAGAAACCCTGGAGCAGCCACTGATAAACATAGTTGTGAAGTTAGCCAAAATGAAGCAAATATACTCATAAAAATAAAAAAGCCATAAATGTTCTTTGATATTGCTTTCATGAAATCATTTGAATTAGTTAGCTCTGTTGTTATGTTTCCAATTAGAACATTAAAGATAATTGATATGATACCATTAAGAGCATTTAAAAATAATCCTAAAAAGTAAGCCCATCTATGTTTATAGTATCTTAGTACTCTAAAAAAGTGCTTCATCCTTGCTTTCTCTGTTTTCTTTTGGGAATCCATAGACGGGTGATTATCAATTGTATTATTAATGTGATCTAATTTATCATTGTAAATTTATCAAAAAAAATCATATAATTTTCCGCACTTTTTTGGCGCCCTTATATCAGTTATACTAACATTTTCAATTTTTTTAAAAAAATTGAAATATTAATTTCTGATGTTGATAGACTTGAATCAATTCAATTTTTGTGAAGTTATCACCTCCATCAACATTTAATCGTTCTTTGTATTTTGCTTTAATTGAATAATTGATCTAATATATTAAATGGAGACTTCCCTAATTGATCAAATTTTGGGAAAAGGTGTTCAAATCTTTCCTTTGATAAATTCATATTTAGCATATGAAGTTATTTGATCTTAATATTCATATTAATTTTGATGACATTTTAAATTTTGATGGCATTCTCAATTTTGATAATTTTCTCAAATGGTTGAGAGGGAAAAATTAACCTCATAGTTATCAAAAATTTTAATGCAAGGTCATAGATCATCCGAGTACTCTAGGTCTCTAGCAGATATATCAGAACAGGCAAATGAATCTATGGAGAAAACAGTTAAGACACCTGCAAGAAAAGTTTATAAATATTTGTTTGCAGATATTATGGCAGTTATAGCCGTTTTTTCATCATTTATTGCTGGCTTAACGCCAATCATATCATATCAATTTATAGGAAGTGTTATCACAGAACTTGGAAAATATTCAACTGGCCAAATCGATGATCCTCTGCCAGAAACCCGAAAACAAGTAATATATTTAGTCATAACATTATTAATAGTATCAATAGCATTTTTCTTTGCCACTTTCTTATGGAATCGAGTTGGATGCAGGATGTCTGTAAGAATTAGAAAAGAGATATTTTCAAATTTGATGTGTTTTGATGTAACATTCTTCGATAATAATTCAATAGGTAGTTTGTTGACAATATTGGGAGAAGATGCAACTGCGATTCAAGAAGCTTTTGGTTCAGTGAAGAATTCTCAGATTCAAAGTTTAGCGCAGTTCATTGTTGGTTTCATTATGATATATATTCAAAGCTGGAGACTAGGATTAATTATGACAGCCACAATTCCATTGATTTTGGTCGCAATGATTACAATTCAATACTTTCTCAATCGTAGCTCTGAGATAGGATTTCATAATGTCTCATCTAGTATTACGATTGCAGAAGAAACAATTTCAAATGTTAGAACGGTACGAGCATTTAATAGAGAAGAAGGTGATGTTCAGAGGTTCAGTGTCGATACAAACAAAAGCCAAAGTTTCTATAGCAAATTCTTTGTTTACATCGGTATTGAATTTTTCATTTTAATTTTAGTCAATTATGGTTTCACTGCAGGTGTACTTTACTATGGATCTACTATAGTTGGCAAGAAGGAAAACGGAAAAGAGTTCACAAGTGGAGCACTTATTGCAATTTTCGGATTTGCTTTGTCGGCAGCCTGGGGTTTAACTAATTTTCAGTTTTTCCTCGGACAAAAAGAGCGAGCTGCACAATCTGCTGCACGTGTGTTGGATATGATCGGTTATCAGCCATCAATAAATTTTGATGGAGGAATGCAATATGACGATTTCAAAGGAGATATCGTTTTCGATCATGTTTCATTCAAGTATCCATCAAGGAATGTATTTGCACTAAGCGATGTCTCTTTCAATATCAAGTCAGGACAGAGTGTCGCTTTCGTCGGTCACTCAGGAAGCGGAAAGTCAACGATCGTTTAACTGATCGAGAGATTCTATGATGCCACAGAGGGTACTATCACCATTGATGGTCACAACATCAAAGAAATCGATCCGAGATGGTTACACAAACAGATGTCTCTCGTTTCGCAAGAACCTTCATTGTTCCATGGAACAATCAAGGAAAACGTTTTGTATGGTGTCTTCGAAGCTAAGACTGACGAAGAGATCATGGACGCCTTGGAACAAGCAAATGCGAAGAAATTCGTCATGAAGTTTGACGATAGCATCAATCATCAAGTTGGAGATCGTGGTTCTATCCTATCAGGCGGTCAACGACAAAGAATCGCTATTGCTCGCGCAGTCATGAAGAATCCGAAGATCTTGATCACGGATGAAGCTACATCTGCACTCGACAGCGAAAGCGAGAAGAAAGTACAGAGTGCACTCGACAAGGTTCTTATTGGACGAACAGGCATTGCTGTTGCACATCGTCTGTCGACAGTTATCAACTGCGATGTGATCTTTGTTATCGATTCAGGCAAAATTGTTGAACAAGGCACTCACACCGAACTTGTTACAAAAGGTGGTGCTTACTACAATCTTGTTAAGCATCAATTAAGCAAGTCAGAAACCAAATAATAGGAAATTTTATCTTTGGTAACTCATACTTTATCTTACCTATTTCATGACTTAAATAAAGATTGTTTTTTTATAAAAAAAGTTTCATATGATTATACAAATTCTTTATTTTATTGTTGTAATTGGTATTTAATAAGATCTGCGTAATATCCACCTTTGGACAGGAGTTCTTCATGTTTACCAGCTTCAACAATGTGACCATCTTTGAATACAAAGATCTTGTCTGCATTAATTACTGTTGCAAGACGATGTGCAACAATAATTGCAGTTTTACCTTTGCGGATTTCTTCAAGACTCTGTTGAACAAGTTTTTCACTTTCTGTATCAAGGGCAGCAGTTGCTTCATCCAAAAGAAGGATTGGACTATTTTGCAAAACTGCTCTTGCAATGCAAATTCTTTGTTTCGGGCCACCACTCAAGCTCGTTTGTTGAACAATTGTATTGTATCTCGATGGCAATCCTATGATGAAGTTATGAGCATTTCCTATTTTAGCAGCTTCATAAATATTCTTCTTATCAATGTCTGGATCTGCATACTTGATGTTGTCTTCAATTGACATGGAGAACATGACTGGAGTTTGAGGAACAATAGATATTTGTGTTCGAAGGTAATGTGGTGACCATGTTGTGATATTGATATCATCAACAAGAATTTCACCACTTTCAATCTCATAAAATCTTTGAAGGAGTTGCAAAGTAGTAGATTTTCCACAACCACTTTCTCCAACAAAAGCTACTGTCTCGCCTGGATTGATTGTGAATGAAAGATTCTTTACTGCATATGTATCCTTTGATAAATATCTGAACGAAACATTTTTGAATTCAACCTTTCCTTTGACAATAAGTTCTGGATTCTCTCCTTCTTTCTGATTTATTTTTGGCTGATGCTCTAAGATTTCAAGCAATCTTTGTGAAGCAACATTTGCCTTCCTGAAATCTTCAAATAAAATTAAAGCTTGAAAGATCGCCTGGATCGAAAAAAGTAGGGAAGACATGAGTACCATAACGTCTCCACTCTTCATGTTCCATGATGGCTTATTCTTGATAATCCACACGCAAAAATAAAGAAATACAACAGTGAGTACGTTCACAAATAAATTCAGAATTCCATCTTTGATACCGGTGATAACTGAAGTTTTGTTGACAACATTAAGAATTTTTTGTAAAGATGACTCGTATTTCTCAGATTCAGTGAGTTCTCTATCAAATGATTTGACAGTCCTAAATGAATTAATAACTTCTTCGGCCTTTGTATTAGCTGCATTCGTGGCATTATTATAATCATGCCAAAGTTTTCCAATAAAATATTCGCATAGGAAAAATGCAGCAAAGCAGATAGGAATGACAAATAAGGCAATGAGAGATATTCTCCATGAATATATGAATGAAAGGACAAATCCAGCAAGGGCTTGCGATAAATCTATAGTTAAAACGCAAAGTCGGTCCATATAAATAGAGTATATCAATGAGCTATCAGTAGTAATTCTATCCAAAAGAGATCCTGATTGGTTTTGATCAAAATAATCAATGTCAAATGATAAGAGTTTCGATAAAAGTAAAATTCTTACATTGATGTGAAAACCTGGAGCTGCATATGAAACACATAATTGGCCAATAAGCCATAATATAGCAAATATACCCATGATTATTAAAAATGTATAAATATTCTTTTTGATTGCTTTCATAAAATCATTTGATGTGGTTAATTCTGTTGTAATGTTTCCAATAACAACATTAAAAACAATTGCAACAATTCCATTAATGAAACTGAAAAGCAATGCAATAAAATAAACCCATCTTTTTGGATAGAACTTAAGGACTTTTAAGAAATGCTTCATCCCTGGTTTCTCTTTTTTACCAGCAGAGATCTCAGACGGATTTGTGTCTGATGTTTGTTCCATTTGATCTTTGCTAACCTCGTTCATTTCAAAATTGATTGTAAAGTTTGATAACTTTACAAAAAAAGATGATGCCGAAAACTAGATAGTAAAAGTTATAACTATCAACAAGTTAAAATAATTCTTTTAAATGCCAATATTTAAGTCTTTTCAATTTCAATTTTAAATGACTTAAAATCATTCAAAATTTCAATCAACATCTACTAACCTCATTTCGATTCAAATCAAAGCCATTCAAAAACGAAATGTGCTTTTGAGGTAGCTTAATGAAATTAATCACTAATTTTCATATTTGACCAATCATATTGAGAGGATGATACGATGCAAAATTTGTGTTATAATTCCGACAAATTTGGTAAAAGAAGTTAAACATGAATAAAATGTTATTTAAAGCTTATTTGCAATGAATTTCCCAAAGTTTTCGTCATTCAATGAAATTACTCAATATTGAGAGCTTATTGAAACGGTTTGGAGTTCAAATTAACCTCGCTTTTCTTTTCAAATTTTTATATTTCAGGTAAATTTATTATAATTATTTAAAATGCAAGCTCGTAGATCATCTGAGTACTCTATGTCCCTTGAAGAAATATCTAGAAGAGCTAATGATTCGAAGCAAAATTCAGTTAAAACACCATCAAGAAAAGTTTATCAATATCTTTTCAAAGATATTATGGCAGTGATTGCAGTATTTCCTTCTATTATTGCTGGTTTAACGCCAATTATCTCATATCAATTTGTTGGCAATGTTATTACAGAACTTGGAAGATATTCGGTTGGCGAAATTGATGATCCTCTACCAGAAACAAAAAAGCAAATGATTTATTTAACAATAGTTTTAATAATAGCGTCAATTTCATTTTTCTTTTCTACATATTTATGGAATCGAGTTGGATGCAGAATGTCAGTTAGAATAAGAAGAGATGTTTTCTCCAGCATGATGCGCTTTGATGTTGCATTTTTTGATAGTAATTCAATTGGCAGCCTATTGACAATATTAGGAGAAGAAGCAACTGCAATACAAGAAGCATTTGGTTCAGTGAAGAACTCTCAAATCCAAAGTTTAGCTCAGTTTGTAGTTGGATTCATTATGATATATATACAAAGTTGGAGACTAGGACTTATTATGTCCGCGTCAATTCCATTGATTTTGCTTGCAATGATTGCAGTTAATCACTTCCTCAATCGAAAAGCAAATGAAGGTTTCCAGTTAATATCAAGCGGAATTACAATAGCAGAAGAAACAATCTCAAACGTCCGAACTGTTCGCGCATTTAATGGAGAAGAAGGTGATATTGACAGATTCAGCGTTGTTACGATGAAAAGCCGAAGTTTCTATAGCAACTTCTTCGTATACACAGGTATAGAATTCTTCTTTTTAATTTTAGTCATCTATGGATTTACATCTGGAGTGCTTTACTATGGTGCAACCATTGTTGGCAACAAAGAAAATGGACAAGTGTTTACAAGCGGAGCACTTATTGCAATTTTTGGATTTGCAACTTCTGCAACATGGGCGTTAACAAATTTCCAATTCTTACTTGGTCTTGAAGAAAGAGCAGTTCAATCAGCAGGACGTGTAATGGATATGATTGGATATCAACCATCAATAAACATTGATGGAGGAATTCAATATGATGACTTCAAAGGAGATATCGTATTTGATCATGTTTCTTTCATGTACCCGTCTAGAAATGTATTCGCCCTGAACGATGTGTCTTTCCAGATCAAGTCAGGACAGAATGTTGCTTTCGTTGGCCATTCTGGAAGCGGTAAATCAACAATCGTTCAGTTGATCGAAAGATTCTATGATGTTACAGAAGGAGCAATCACCATTGACGGACATGACATCAAAGACATCGATCCAAGATGGTTACACAAACAGCTGTCTCTTGTTTCACAGGAACCATCATTGTTCCATGGAACAATCAAAGAGAATGTTTTGTATGGTGTCTTCGAAGCTAAGACTGACGAAGAGATCATGGACGCCTTGGAACAAGCAAATGCGAAGAAATTCATCATGAAGTTCGACGATAGCATCAATCATCAAGTTGGAGATCGTGGTTCTATCCTTTCTGGTGGTCAACGACAAAGAATCGCTATTGCTCGCGCAGTCATGAAGAATCCGAAGATCTTGATCACGGATGAAGCTACATCTGCACTCGACAGCGAAAGCGAGAAGAAAGTACAGAGTGCACTCGACAAAGTTCTTATTGGACGAACAGGCATTGCTGTTGCACATCGTCTCTCAACAGTTATCAGCTGCGACGTGATCTTTGTTATCGATTCAGGTAAAATCGTTGAACAAGGCAAACATGCTGAATTAGTTGAAAAAGGAGGTGCCTATTACAATCTTGTCAAATATCAGCTAAGAAAATCTGAAACCAAAGCATAAATATTTTTTTTTATAATAAACAAGAAAATTTCTCAAATCAACCTAAAATATATTTTTGTACTTATGTGATACAGATTGTAAGTAATTATACTTATGTTTTTCAATAATGAATTAAATATTCAAACTTAATGTGAATGTAGATATAGAGAAATAGCTGGTTATTACAATGGAATATCTTAATTCATAAGAAAATAATCAAATTTTGATTTTCAATTTTTTTCGAAACAGTGCTTCATTTATCAATATCCTTGAATGATCCTCCTAGACTATGCTTTCTAACATCATTTAAATGCAAATTAAACAATAATATACCATAATTGAAGGCGAAAATTTAAATCATGCAGAATATTAAATTAATTAAGGAATTTATGATTTCTGCAAAGGTTATTGTTGTGTTCTTGATAGAAGTTTTTAAAGAAAATGATGAAGATTGTTTCAAGCTTAGGAATTAAAACGTTTTAGGTCATAGGAAAGTAATGTTTTGATTAATAGAGGAGAAAATGATATAATTTTGCTTGTTTAAGGAAAATTGATAATTGTGATAGGTCGAATACTTGAATAGCGCATTTATCGAATTAGATAAAATTGAAAATGAGATTTCGAGGTTAATAATATCTAAATTCTTAGTCATTATTAGCTCATTAAGCTGTTTATGTTGAAATAACCAGGACTGTATTTAAAATAGATTGAATGGGAATAGAACAAATATAATTGAAAAAAGAAATTTATAAAAATCAATATAGAACTCGGAATATATTAAGTGCTATTCGTTCCTTGTAAAATTGATTTTACAAATTGAATGGATGAATTTGAAAAAGATCAAATGTCAAAACTGCGTTTGAATAAAAATTTTGAATATAGATTCAAAAGAAGAAAAGATAATTAATAATTTGTCATATATATAATGTGTGTGTTATGATTTGAAAATGTAAATTTTGAGAGTTTTTAAATAACAAGATAATTTCATAATTTGTATAGTTTTTGATATTTAATAATTAATTATTCATTGTTTTTAAATTGAAAGGTTGCGGTGTGAATTAATGGGCCATATCATTAGTGATTATCTGTGATTGATTTTAACGCGTTTTGAGCCGAATATGCTGCAATTCAATTTAAAAATTGAATAGTTCTCAATTCATGCGATAATAAAATATTAATTTGTATTTTCTGAGTTATTTCTATTTGGACAATAATATTTTTTGTTTTAAGATAATTGAAAAAGTCCACCCTTATGTATTTTTATTTATCTAATAATACTTATTATATTTTTCCAATTAAATTTTTTCAATGTTTAACAAAAAGCGCACGTTAGGAAAAATATTTTTATAATTTATTGTTACTATACATATATTTTGTACTAAATTCGATATGAAATTTTTTGAATTAACAAAATTATCTTAGAAAAAATTGTGAAAGATTCTGAATACTCAAAACGTTAGACTCTAAATTTTAGAATCTTCGAAAACGAATAACACTATCTCTACCCCCTCGCAGCTTGGTCCTTATGTATTTAAAGGACTCGTCGGAGAAGGTGCATTCTCCATTGTCAAACTTGTTATGCACAAAGAAACAAAACAATATTACGCTTGCAAAATTATTCCAAAAAATCGTATTGTCGAAGCAAATTTAGATCAACGTTTTGAAGCAGAAATACGTATAGATCAACAACTACATCATCCTGGAATTGTTCAAATTGTTGATTTAATGAAAGATAACTCAAATTACTATGTTGTTATGGAATTCTGTCCAAATGGAGACTTTTTCCAATTTATTATTGATAACGGCACTATTCCTGAAAACATCGCAGCATTTTCAATGAAACAAACTCTAGAGGCTCTTCAATATGTTCATAGGCTCGGAATTGCGCACAGAGATCTTAAACCAGAAAACCTTTTATTAGACGCACAGAACAATATTAAAATCAGTGACTTCGGTTTATCTCGATATGTCGGCCAAAACGGTCTTGTAGATACTCCATGTGGCTCTCCTTGCTATGCTTCTCCAGAATGCTTGAGCGGAATGCCTTATGGAGGTTGCGCTAGTGATATCTGGAGCTGTGGCGTCATCCTTTACGCAGCTTTAACAGGTCAATTGCCTTGGACTAAAAGAAATCAACAACAATTATTTGATCAGATCAGAGCAGGTGACTACAAAGTACCAGAGAACATCAGTGATCTCGCAAAAGACTTCTTAGTCGGTCTAATGACCGTTGATCCAGCAAAAAGATTTACGATCGAGCAGGCATTGAACCATGAATGGCTCAAAATTGCTCCTGCTGGATTATCTCAACAGAAAGCCGCAAATCCACCGAAATTAGTTTCATTGAAGGCAGTTGATAGATTTTTCGATTATGATGTCGACAGCCCAGACTGCGATGTACTTGATAGTCCAACAACAACTCGTGGACAATCATTCTACACTGTCGTTCGCGAATTAGAACCACAAACTAACAAATTGCCAAAAATCAAAACACGCCAACTCGCAATACCTCCTCGAAAGGCTGCATCGAGGATTTTGCAGAGCAGACCTGTTCACCATCATCCTAAGATTATTTCTTTGCAGCAAGTCAGAAAATAGAAGACTTGATCTTTTGTTTTCTTATATTTTATCCATGAATTTAGTCTTATTATGTTATGGGGATTAAACCTTTGTTTGTTTTTCTTTCTATTTTCAAAATTAATTATTTTTTTCATTTTCCTCTTCAATCGATTGCTTTTACATAATCAAGTTTTGATTGATCTGAATTGCTTTAGATTGCTGTTAATGTTTCTCCGAATTCTACAATCAATTTCTAATTCGGAGACTTATCTGACTTAAATATTTCTAGAATTTTGTTTTATATTGGTATCTCTCTCTGAATTTTTTCCAATAAGTCCGATTAATAAAATTCGATCAAAAGTAGTAGGATAGGATGGGTTTTGTGACTTTTTTTGTAAACGTAAGAATTCATACAATATCGAGCGATTTTGTATCATTTTTTTAACACATTAATTTTAAAAATAATTTATTTTTTTTATCTTACATAAATGACCCAACAAGTAAAACCAGATAAAATAGATTATCGAATTTTAGAGGATGGTGTTCCTGTTTATATTCAAAGATTTAAAGGGAAGCAATATTATAGAATTGTTAATCCTGAATACATAAAACATTATTTAAAAAGGAAAAGACTGTGAATTATTAAACGTTAATGAATATGAAACCAATAAATCAAAATTGAAATATAAATATATTGGAAGTGATGAAAGATGCAAAGATAAAGATAAAGTTTATACAGTTTCATATAATGAATGGAAAACCAATAAGATAAGAAAACATTTAGGAGATTATGGGAAATGTTCTGAATTCTTCAAATCTAGTATGTACGAGAGAGTAAAAGAAATTAGAAATAATTATTTTCATGAATAAAATAAACTTTAAAAATTCATGTCTTACATTTTTGAATAATTTATTTTTTAATTCGTAAGAAATGAGCGTCAAAACTAACGACGTTAAAAAATTAGGATTCACAAACGAGGAAATAAAGGATATATTAGAGGAGGTGGGTTATGAAGTTGATAAATATTATTTAAGAAATTGTCAAAAATTTGCCGAGTTATTAAATGATTTAGATTATGATGGAAAAATGAATAAAGATGATGTTATAAATTTCTTATATCCCACATCTGAAGAAGAAAAACCTAAAGAACCTGATGTTTTCCCTGAATATTATGAAGAACGAATTAAAGATGATGATGAATACAATGAAATTGAAAAACGGGAAAAAATAAGAGATGAAATAGATGAAAAAATTAAGGAATTAAGAGAAGTTGAAAAATATAATGAAAATGAAGTAGAGGGTTTAATGAATATCCCAGCTTCAGAATCAGAAGTTCAGAAATCTCATGAAGAAAGATATAAAATTATGTCTCAGAATCAACACAAAATTTATTAGATGGTGAAATAGACGAAACACTTTCAGAAGAAGGTACTAAATTTATTCGTAAACATAAGTTACAATTTATTGATAATGAAGAATACCCTTGTATCTTACTTTCACCCCCTCTCGATTCTGAGAAATTCAAAAAAGCTCTTAAAAACGTGACATATGCAACTAATACGATTAAGAAAGAAGATCATGATATTTACACAAATTATTATTTAAATAAATGCACGGGTGTTGATAAAGTTTTTGAATTATTAGATAAAATATCAAAAGAAACCACTGGAACATATAAAATTTTGTGTGATTGTGGTTTCATTATTGAAGATACCAATAATGTTTCATATGAAAGAACAGCACCGAAGGAAGACGAAGTTGAAAGGTCTATACCATTCGTTATTAAGAATATAAAAGATATGAAAACTTATAAACATTATATTTATTCATTTATTTCAGAAAAAATGGAAGCAACCCATAAAACATCTTCTCATCATTTTATAGCTATTCATACATTCCTTTTCAAAGTTGTGAAATTAAATAAGACAGGAATTAGATTTAATGTATCAGGGTACGCATTCTTGAGTAAATTAAAATGTATTCGTCACGTCGCAGATGATAAAAATTTATGTGTTCTTAATTCATTTTATGGGCTTTAAAAAATAAACTTTATTTTTTAATTTTTTATTCTTACATAAATGAACAAAAACGGAACAGCTAAAATGAATGATAATCAAATTAGAGCAGAAGGTAGAAGGTTATTTAAACGCTTCTATAACATTCCTGATGGTGTTAATCCTAAAACTCGTAGAAGCTATTTAAATGAAGCAATAGATGCATATGAAGGGTTTGACATTTCATCAGAAAGTGAGAGATTAGCGAGAATGTTAAATGTTAATATTGATTTCTATTATTGTGATCCTCAACCGGAAGACGTGGACATAAATAAGGTAGACTTTCCATTAGTGGATTCAATAATGATAGATCCAGAATTTGAAACAGTAAATATTTTATTAACACAGAGTCCATGTGGAAAACTTCACGCTGACAGAATAACAGACGTTGAAGCACTCACCGGCTATAAAGTTTGTCCATATTGTAAAGAAGAAGTTTATTCTATCCGTGATGATCCGGAAAGGAAAAACCAAAGAAGATTTTTAAAGCATTGTGAGAAATGTAAAGAAAATAATGGAAGATTAATTCAAGACGTTCAATTGCAAAAGACCCAGCAACCATATGCACCACATATTACGAAACAGAAGATATATCAGTGGTTATTAGCTCATAATTTGCAGGAATATTATCAACCGACAAGATATTATATTACTTTTGACTTCGAAACATTAGAGACTAAAGAAGAATTACAACTTTCTGAGTGTGCAACTTTGAACGCTTACTTAAAACCATTCATGGTATCATCAACGGTTAAATTAAATGATAAAACATATACGAGGAATTTTTGCTTAACTTCGAGTGATTCTTTTATTTCTGATTGGATTGAGTTTTTATTTTCAACCCGTTCATTAGTTGCTAAATCAAATATTGAACAATATGAAGAATTAATGAAGTCGCAAACATTAAATGAAAAACAGAAGGAAGCATTTAAAGAACTTCTAGATGAGGAATTCAATAAAGTGAATATCATAGGTTTTAATTCGGGAAAGTTTGATTTAAATTTAATTCTTCGTGATTTAAATACTGCAAAATGGAAAATAAAATCAATGCTGGGTTCTTCTTCTCAATTTAAGCAAATCATTGTAAAGAAAACAAACGTTCCATATGAATTGAGATTTATTGACATCAGAAATTATATAGCGGGTGGGACATTAGACCAATTCACTCAAGATTTCGGAAACAATAAATCACGTGTTAAATCCTTTTTCCCTTATCAATTCATCACATGGGAAAATTACGAAGAAGAATTATATAAAGTGGAACCATTCACGAAAGATTCATTTTATTCAGCATTAACTCAAGAAACTATATCAGATAGTGATTATCAAATATATCTCAATGATGCTAAAAACTTTAAGAATAGATTAGAATATTTTATTCATTATTGCAATAAAGATGTTGAAATTATGATTGACCCAATCGATAAAATTATTGAAGAAACATTTGTTTATAAAATTGATATGCTTCATAATCTTTCTTTATCATCGAATGCTTCAATGATTCGTTACGCTTTAGCATATAAAGACTTTAATCCTAATGAAAAATATCCTGAGGAAGAGATAGAATCAAGTTTTGAATTAACGAAAAAGTATTGGAAATATAAAATTGAATCATATAAGAAACAAGATGAAAAAGCAGAAAGAGATACTAAAAATAATGTTTCAATGGATGATTTTCAATACTATCACGATTTAATCCTTTCATCTAAATGCAAAATGTGTGGTAAAGCGTTTACATATGCTAATAAACCAACATTAGATAGAATAGATAATGAAAAACCACATACTAAAGAAAATTGTCAGTTAATGTGTTGTTATTGCAATGTCGTAAAATCAAATAAAGATGAAGATGTTCAACGTTTAAGAATCAATTTAAGAAATTATGCATTAAAAAATAATTTACCAATGACTTTAGATTCAGTTGAAGCTTATCACATTCTCCGTAATGGAATTACTGGTGGTTTATCAAATGTTCAACATAGAGTAAATCTTAAAGGAATCACGCACATTAATAAACTTTCATATAATCCAGAAACTAAAACTGTATCAAATGAGGACACCACCAACATTATGACTCATTTCGTTGGTGTTGACTTTAATTCATTATATCCTTCATCATTTTCATCTAATCCTCATGATTTCATTCAATATACTGACCATAAAATGTATATGCCGGGAAGATTGAATGGTGTTATCATTTGTGATACAGCAACAAAGAAAGCAAAAGCACTGGGAATAATTAAGAAGAAAAATACTTTATTCGTGGCTGAAGTAAAGGGTCACATTGATGAAAAATACATTAATGATTACATAAACTTTTTACCGATAATAAGAAACTTAGATATTATCACAGATGAAAAAACAATTGGCAGTTTTATGTATAATTACATGAAATCAAACAATCTACCAGTTGACCAGAAACAGAGAAAATTAACTCAATTAGCATCAACACACAACCAATATCAACCATTTTCTTCTTATTATCTTTGGTATCTAATAGACAGATTTCATTTTATCATCGATGATATTCAATCAATTTTAACATTTACTAAAAACACTTGTTTTAATGAATTTGCGAACAAATTCATGAACGAAAGACAAAAGGCTGAATTAGAAGGAAATAAAGGAAAAAGTTTATTTTGCAAAATTTCACTTAATGGATCATATGGTTACGATGCAATGAATACACAAAATTACGCAAAGACTAAAATAATGAATGCACAGAAGTCACGCGTTGCATGTATGTCAAATAAGTTTAAAAACATAAGAGAAATAGGTGAGGATACATATCAAGTGATGCTCAAAGATAGATTTTATAGATGTGATACATGTTTACAAGAGGCATTCTTCACTTTAGATAATGCTAAATACTGGTATTTGGTTTTCATTTATGATTTTATGTATAAATGCATGAATGTTAATCGTTTTCATTTCATTGAAGGTGATACTGATTCATCTTATTGGGCAATCGCTGGCGACCCAAATCTTCCTAACACTCAAGCATTTCAGGCGATTGTTACCGATAAACAATTTTATGATAAAAACATTTTCAAATTCGCACCATTTGATTTCTTCTGTTTTGATGAGAAATTTAAACCTAAATTAAAGAATAAAGCTGAAGAAAAAGCACATGAGAAAAAATTATTGGGTTTAGCAATTGAGAAACAAGGTGATAACATTGTTGCTTTATGTCCTAAGTGTTATACATCATTCAACGGTTCAATTGATGGAAGTGATTTTAAAAAGATTGCACAAAAAATGAAGGGTGTTAGTTTAAGACAAAATAAGCAATTAACACCTAAAAATTATTTGGATATAATAAATGATAAAGTGATATTTGATGGTCAAAATATTAATTTACAACTTAAAAACGGGTCAATGACTCGCTTAACAATCGGTAAGACTGCATTAACAGGAGCACACACTAAGGCTGTATGTTGTGAAAATGGATGTTGTATGCCATTTATTTAATACAATTTAAAATTTTAATGAAATGCCACAGAAGAGACAAAAGGAACCGTTAATGATGCGATTCAATATGTAAATAATGGTTTTGATACTATGATTCAAAGAGGTGGGCACCCTTAAAACACTTATTTTATTTTTATATAAATGGATAACACAGATTTAAAAATTTTAATTGATGATTTAGTATTTAATCAAAATTTTCTTAGTTATTATGAATTAAAATCATATCTCCAAAAATATAATAACAATATAACGGGGATGATATGGATTATTATTATCCATATTATAAAAATGAAATTTTGAAATATCATAATAGAATAATTTCTAAAATTAAAGACAAAATTAAAAATAATGAATATACAAAGGGAAAAACTAAATCACAACTTAAACAGTTGAAAGATTTCAAAAATAAAGTATTAACAGAAGAAGATATTGATGAATTATATAATTTATATAATCCTGAGCCACAAAAACCAAAGCCGAGGTCTAAAGTAGCAAATGTTCAACAGCTAAAGGAACAAAACACCCGGGTTCTTCAGACCATAAATGATGCACAAGCTTTAATTTATGATTCATTAGTTAAACCATATTCAGCCCGACTTTTAAATGAAGATCAACTTTTGGAATTCATCCTTCAACATAAACTCGAAGCGGGAAAGTATATCAAACCTTTATATACAGCATATTTAAAACAAATGAATAGAATACATCCAGAATTAATGAAGGAAGGAATGAAATCCAAAATCAAAGCAGATAAAATTAAACCACTTGCAACACCAAAACATCCAACGACAGTACCACCTCCTCCTTCAGTTAATCCTTCATCATTCACTTTATTATATCCATTTCAAACATTAAAGAAGCAAAAAGATTTTAAAAAGGATTTCAAGATATTAAATAAACCAATTGACCCGAAAATTCAACCGTTAAAGGAAAAATTTAGTCACCCTTCATTTGCTCCATATCCATATTCATACGAAATCGATCATCTGGAATATTCAAAAGGAAACGTTACTTATTTATTTGCCATTAACATTAACACTAGATATTTATATTGCATTCCAGTGAAAGGGAAAACAGAACAGGAAACAAGAAGAGCTATTCAATACTTACTAGATCATGAAAGAGTAGATAATATCAGGGGTGATGGTGATAAAGGATTTCAGGCAGCTATGGCTCATTATTTCCCACAAATTAATTTTTTCTTTTCATCCTCTCCATATACGTTTCATAATAAAATAGTTGATGCGGTAATGAGAACTCTTAGAGATGCGTTAGGGGTTAACGGTCAGATATACTGGGATGGAAATCATGACTCCATCATACAACAGTTAGTATATTATTACAATAATACATGGCATAGAACTATAAACATGAAACCGGTGGAAATGAAAAATGATATTTCAAAAGAATGGGAATATATTAGAAAGCAAATGGAAAGGTTGAATGATGTTAAACGTGAACAAATTAATTCGGGGCTCATGAATTTTAAACAAGGGGATAAAGTTTTGATTCATCTCGATTATGGAAAAACTGATAAATCAATGACAAAAAGAAGACGAAGATTTGACACAATAGCTGAATTTGTTAGATATATTAACGGCAATGCATTAGTTGAAGTTGACAATAAATTAATAGAAATTCCGATTTATTTTATTACTCCATTATATTTAAATAATATTTAATTTTTTTTATTTCGTAAGAAATGAGTGACAATGAAGCAGTCAAGAGTCCAGACAATGAATATAAAAAGAAACTAAACAGAATTAAATCAAAAATATGCTATTACAAAAAGAAGCCGCAATGCGGTGGGGCTGATGCCCATAAAACTAATGGAACTGAAAACGATGAAGAGAAGAAGGAAATAATCGAAAAATTAGAAACTTACCGTTCAATCCTTAAACTGAGTGAAGTAAAAATAAAAGAATTTAATAGAATAAATAAATTGATTGGAAGAGATGAATTTAATAAAGATGAATTTTTAAACTCAATCCAAATTTAATTTTTATTCCTCTTCGACAACGTCTCTCTTTCCATCATTACTGCATAACCACATTTTCTCAGTTTTAGTGGTTTGTTATTTTTAGCAAGTTCTCGCATCATTTTTATCATTTCCTCCCTTGTTATGATTCGTGGTAAATTTTGAGCTTGTGGGGTATCCATTTATGATAAAAATAAAAATTTAAATTATGCCGTTCTAAAGTTTGTGACAACATGACATTTTGACAACAGTCGGGGAAATAAATGTTTACGTTAAGTGACTCAAAGAGTCCGGAGACAAAGTCTCATGTTTACGTTAATGGTTTCAGGTTATTCAATAATTAATTATTTTTGAAGAACTGAAGGTGCTACCATGTTACCATGTGCTACCAGGTTAATGAACTTCTCTGAAAAAATGAGACAACATGACATTTAGACAACACAGCAGGATTAATGCAAAAATAAATTCAAATCATACTTTATAAAGCATCATTTACAGGTATTTCATCGTCAGTAAATGAATCCTCATTATCGTTTGGTTCAACCTGTTTATATAATCCTTTCATTTCTTCTTTCAAAACATAACACCATGTTTGTTTACCGTCTATTCTTCTATGTTTCCTTTCACATTTATCCTTAATGCTCATTTGAAAGTTTTTGTCTTTCATGTCTGATGGTTTGCAGAATAGAGCATTTTTACATGTCATACCTGCACACAATTCATCATAATGTGTATTTATCCATACATCTAAAGGATTTGTTGATAATTCAATTAAATCTTGTTTGGCTTCAGTCATCGGTATGATTCGTACATTAAATGATGAAAGGTCGTAATTGATAAAATATGTTAAAAGGTTATCATAAAATTCCTTAGTGCATGAATCCATCAAATTCTTGAAGTAATCAAATTGACCCTTGAATTTACCATTAACTCTTAAAACTACGTATTTTCTGTCTCCAACTTCAATTTTGTCATGATTTCTTCGTATATGTTTTGTCAAACATGAACGTATATGTTTTGTCATGATTTCATCGTAATGAGTGTAAATGACCCAAAATATATTTTAGGGTAGAAGGGTAGATCTAACCTCATTTCTACCCTCTTGCGATTTTCATACGGAATCTCTTCTCTCGGTTTTCCGAGGGAAGCAATCATATGAGGAAATTCTTCTAAAATTTCTTTTGTCTGTTGGTTTTCAAACCAATGATATGCTTGCTTTGTAGAACGAAGAGTATTCATTATACTTTGCATCTGGTACATGTCATCTTTGACCGAACGAATGAGGCGAAGTTGTTTGTTATATTGTATGTACTCGTATTCTTCATTTATGGCTTCATGAACGATAGCAGTTGTTGTGTTCTCTGATGTTGACATTACTGTCATTTCATACAAAATAAAAATAATTTTAAAACTAACTTTATTTTTTCTGACTTTCTACTGAATCAGTAACTTTAACTTCAATTTCATCGAATTCAGGAATAGTTAGTTTTTGTTGCTGAACTTCCGGTAATTTAGGCAAATGGTCTATGATATCTTGCATTTCATAAAGATACTGTTCATTTGTTTCATCTTTCGCACTACAGTCTAAATTACTTGTTAAAAGTTCTTGCTTTATTCTTTGTATTTTTGTTTCAAAAGTATATGAAGAAGGAATGAAGTTTTTCATCTCTACCAACATTGACGTAGGATTCATGATTAATGAATTTGGTGCCGTAGTTGTTTGAATTGTTGTTGTGCCGATTGTTGAAATCATATCTTTTATACAAAATAAAAAAATAAAAATAAAACTAACTTTATTTCTTCTGTCTTAAGGAAATTCACGAATTCATAACGTATATCACGTTAAACGTTTGTAAATCTTTAGGTTAGAAATGAGGGTAGATATCAGGTTAGATCTAACCATCTACCCTAAACATTATTTTTGGGTCATTTACACTCATTACGATGAAGAAGTCTTGACAAAACATATACGAAGAAGTCTTTACATAGAGTTTACGTTCATGTTTGACATAGAGTTTACGTTCATTACGATGAAATCATGACATAGAGTTTACGTTCATGTTTGACATAGAGTTTACGTTCATGTTTGACATAGAGTTTACGTTCATGTTTGACATAAAGTTTACGTTCATTACGATGAAATCATGACATAGAGTTTACGTTCATGTTTGACATAGAGTTTACGTTCATTACGATGAAATCATGACAAAACATTTACGATAAAATATATTTCCTCCTGCTGTGTTGTCAAAATGTCATGTTGTCTCATTTTTTCAGAGAAGTTAATTAACCGAGTGACACATGGTGACGTAGTGACACCTTCAGTTCTTCAAAAATGCTTCATAAGTGCCTTCCTCATTAATCCTGCTGTGTTGTCAAAATGTCATGAGGTTAGAAATGAGGTTAGAAATGAGGTTAGATCTAACCATCTACCCTAAAAATTATTTTTGGTGAATTCAATAAAAATAATGAGTTCATTTACTCACAATATTTTTGTACAAAACAACCCCAAGCTTTTAACTTCTTTTCTGCAGCTTCTAATGCTATCTTTGTTGCATTAATGTAACCATCCTTGTCTCTACGTAAGACTTCATTACCTAATTAATTACAGACATAAAATATATTTAGTTCATTCGGTAAGCCTAAACCCTTTGGGTCAAGTCTCAAGCACATTCAATGAATGTGGTACCATGCGAATACAGTCACAAATGGTGGCATGTAATCTTTACCCGAGCCTGTTGGATTTGTTGTGAAAGTGTGTGAATGATTACCTGCGGTTCCACAGAAAATACCTGTGCTTGAATCTACTGGGTCAGTTGTGATATCATATCTATTCATTCCCCATCTATCCGAACCCGCTGCAAGATTTATATAACCTCTTTTTGTTATTGAATGTGAATGATTACCTGTTGTGTTTGTAGTTCCTGTATGAGTGTGCGGTGGAAGGTTTGCTTCTTTAATTTTCTTCGAACCCCCTGTTTGCTTTGAATATCTAGCACAGTATAAGAATTTATCTACAATTCTGCTTCCCATACAAAACCTAAACTGTTGATGGATTTGTTGAGTTCATTGATGTATAAATAGAACCAACAGGATATAATGTTTGAAGTATTTCATTTTTCATGCTTGTAATCACATCATTTACTTCCGACTTCTTTGCATAATTTTCATCAACATATGTTTTATCCGCTTTAAGGTCTAAACATCCTGAAACCCATTCTGTATCAGCTTTAACTTTAAAAGTCTCAAATGTCCATTCATGATACCATTCAACCTTTTCTTTAATTTCATTATCTTTTTCATCAACATAAACCAAATTTGCCTTCTTATTTAACTCACTATCCACGTATTCCTTATCCGCCTTCTTCATTATGTCGTTTAGGAAACCTTCTATGAATTCCTCATTTAAATTAAATCTTCCAATCTTCAAAACTTTAGGAAATGCATTTAATGCGTAATATCTCTGTTCTTCTGGTGGAATTGATGTTATATCATCCGTTATTCCTTTAATTTTTGAATTCATAAATAAAATTTCTTTTATATTTGATATCACTGCACCACCTTTGCAAACGAATTCGAAATGTTCATTTTTCAATACTATCTCCAAATCTCCATATTTCAACCTTTGCGTTTGTTCTGCCGTCTTTGAATTATATGCATATATGGCGTATGTAATGGTCTGAGGGACCTGGGTGTTTTGTGCCTTAAGTTGCTGTGGTTGCTGTTGTTTAATCATTTATTATGATTTAAAAATAAATATTTAATCTGTTATCTCATCAGCTATTTTTTCTATTTGAAATTGCCATAATATTTCATTCATGAATTCTAAATCACAATCAAATAGGTCAGTTATTCTAAATTTAATATTTGATAAATCTTTTGAATGAAGAATAAATGAATTCCCGGATAATTGAAACGGATATGATAAAGAAAATGTGTTTAAGTTGATGGATAAAATGTTTTGTATTGATGGGTAAGAGTTAGGGTCTAATGTTTGATGTGAAAATCTCATTGGGGTATTAACTTTATCACATTTGATTAAAATGAAATTGGAACCGGTGTCAGAATACAAAACATCCCCAACATCTTTTTCAAAATTTAATATCCCCAACAATGAACGAAGATGAGGAGTACAAAATTTAATTTTCAGCGGGAATTTAATAAGGTTATTTATTTCATCAAGTTCAAAAAGTTTATCAGGTTTTGATTTAAAATTTTCTTCATACCATACGATAAATGATTCATTTAAATAACTTAAAATCGTGTTAATATCCCATTTCGCTATCACATTATTTATATACATATCATACGTTTTTTCATGGTCATCTTTAATAAATGATATATAATCTGAAGGGTCTAAAAGAATGGGATTAAATTTACCACTCACAGAAACGAGAGTAACATTATAAATTCCGCTAACTGTTAAATTTAATTCACAGCTATTATTCGAAATAATATTGATAATTGATATTTTTATTACGATTAAAAATATGGTAAAGCGTTATTTTCCAGTGATAAATAAAACTAGAATAAGATTACCTCAAGAATTCATAAATTCAACGAATAAGAAATTCATTCATGTTATAAATTTTAGTGTTTTCAGAAAATATGAGTCAGTGTCATATTCATCAACAGGTTATATTTCACTTCATTCAAATTTAGTTCAATCAAACCCATATAATGACCATTTCATAAGATTTTCAGATGGTATTAAAAATGTAATTGATAGATTAAAATATGAACAGATTGACAATATCGAATTTTTGGAATTTTGGTTTAAATATCCCGATGGAAAAAAGATTGAAGTTAAAGATAAAGCTGATACTATAACAAAAACAATTACAATGACCGATCCAGATAGTGGGGAACAAAAAGAAATAAAACAAACGATAGAAACTGGTGAAAGGTCAATTATTATTGATTATGATTCAAAGGATTATTATTCGATAATGTTAATGCTTGAATATTAAATAGCCTTAACAAAGAATTTTTCAAGTGATATTTTATATTCATCAACTATTTTATTATAAATATCATTATATGTTAAATGAAGTTCAGTTGTTGTTCCGTTCTTTGATATCTTAATTGTGCTAATATCCTTTATAGGATTTATTTTTGCAACTGTTCCGCAGCATGAAACCTCATCATCTATGAAAAATTGAATCTTAACGTCTGAATCTTGAACATCACAAAGAATGGCGATAATGTGAATTAATGATTCATAAGGTAAAATAATTAAACCGGATTGGTCAATTAAATTTATTATTGAATCATAATTATTAATTATTATATCACGGTAAATTTTCATTAATTCAGAATTAATGTCTATTTTATATGGGTTCTCGATGTTTGATGAAAGAGGTGGGGGTATGTTGGATAAGTGGGAATTTCAACAGGTTCTTTACCGGGTTCAGATAAAATGATTGGGTCTCCATCTTCTTTATTTTGCTCCTCCTTTTTCGGTAAGTCACGAGTTAATAAATTTGGTTGAGTTGCTGACCTTGTTAATTCAGGGCTAACATTAACTTTAACATTTTGAATAATTCGTGATTTATCATCATTTACGTTATAACCAACCGTAATCTCTGCTTTTGCGTTAGTGTTCTTTTGACTAGTGAAACGTCTTCTCATTTATATTCGAATAAAAAAAATATATTTAAACTTTTATTTTGCTGGAACTTTTGAATCTATTATTCCCTGTATTTGTTCATGAAGTTGATTTTTAGCTGTTTCATCGAAATTAATAGACCGAATATATTCATTAATTGTATTCTTATAATCATCTGATTTCTCAAATTTTCTTTTATCTGATTCCTTAACTAAATCATAAGTTAAACCTCGTTGCTGATATAATGGTTTCTTAATTAAATCTTTGAATGCTTGAGATAAAGCACCTGATGCAATTCTTGCTACTATAATTGGTTGGAATTGCTGTTTAAGTTCATCTTTAACATTTGCGAAAACTGGATCGAATAAAGCAACTTTAAAGAATTTCTTAGCTGAAATTTCAGGTCTAATATTTGCATATTGACCATCAAACTGGTTAGAATATCGTGGTAATCCATCCGGTCCCTCTTCAATAGCATTTAATTCTTCATTGAAATAAGAATATGGATTATGACGGTATGAATTAATTGGACCGTTTTCACCTTCTTCAATGTATTGTTTAACAGCTTTTCCATTTTCATCAAATTGCATAGGATAACGTTCATTATATGCTTTACGTTTAGGATAATCAGTTATAGTTAATTTGTAACCATTTATGACTTTAATATTACCTTGACCATCAGTAACGAAAACTTCATTTATACCATCAGGTTTTCCATTTGGACCCGTAATGTCTGCTTCGTGTGCTTCCCAATTTGGACCATGACGTTTGGCATATGCTTGAGCTTCTGGTAATGTTAAAACGTTTCTCATTTGTTTAACATCTTTTTGAAGACCAGCAACAATATGAACTAATTCTTTCATTCCATCAGGAACTTTCATAGTTCTATTATATACACCCTTTTTGTTTGTTCCTTGTTTTAATGGAACCTGTAGAAGATTTGCCATTTCTGTCATGTTTAATTATAAATAAAAAATAAAAATTAATTATAAAAAGTTAATCAAATTTAACACTTCCTTTATTTAAATCAACTATTATTTTTCCATGTTCACCTAATTGCTGATATTGTGTGTAAAGTTCATTAATGCTCATTGGTAAATTCACTTGATAAAGCATAACGTTCAACTGTTGACGACTAAACCCACTGAAAATGAAAAGTGTTGATAGATTTGATTTAATGTTTGTGCTTAATGCTTTGAAATATTGAACAGCCATGAAGAATGAACACTGAATGTGTCGACATTGAGTTAATAACTGATTAAAATATGATTTCTCATTTGTTATTAGTTTTGATTTCACTGCATCATCTAGAAAAATGAGTGAATGCAAAAATTCTCTATCAAAATTTGAAATAGAAAGTGTTTCAAATAATTCATCCCGTTGTTTATCTATAATTTTATCCTCTAATCCTTGCTTCTTGATTGTATTATATAATTCTTTATACATTAAAAAGTTTTTTAAATAATCTTCTGCTTCTTCTTGTGATAAATAAATAATTGGAATTTTGATTAAATGCTTTAAAGATTCAAATGTATCATCTGAAGGTGAACCTGAACGGTTGATATAAATTAACACATGTGAATGGGGGGAAGTGTTAGCAATAATGATAATTTGTTTTAATATCGTTAATGTTTTACCTTTATTTTGTTTACCAATTGCTGCAGTGATTGAATTTAAGTAACATTCAGAATATGGAATTTTCATTAATTTTTCCTTAGATAGAGCATTTCTATTATCACTCAATGCTTCATTAATCATATCATCTACGTATGTATTATATACTCCTGCTAATTCTTCATAAGGGGTGGATGAATTTAAATCCATTTAATCAAAAATAAATTTATAATTTTAAACATTTCTATTCATCAATATTTCATCATATGAACTTCTATACTGTGGTGGTGTACCTGTTGGATGATATTTCAAACCTTCATCCGGTGTCCATGTCCAATATGTTGTCCTAGTAAACCAAACCTGAGGAGGATTTGTCACCTTTGAACAGTAAGTGTCATTTACACCCTGAATGATTGGATAAGCTTTCACTTGTACTGTAACTTGTGAGTTGAAAGTTTCTAATCCATCAAAGAATATACCCGCTCCATCACGTTGAACTGGAATAGTGCATAAGAATGAAGTTTGGTCTTTCCATGTTCTAGCTAATGGCATGCCATCATCTGCATTCAGTGGTCTAGTTAATGAGTCCTCGTATTCTTCCGTGCATTCATTCACTCCATCTAAATCAGAAGCTTGAAGCATACGTGTAAAGAATATGTCGCCCACTGTGGTCATCGCTTGATCGGGGAAGTTTCTGGAATCTATAGTGACCTGAAGACCTCGAAGCATTGGATTTTCTAAAACTGTTCTTTGCATTGCATTCTTCGGAAATGTTAACACAACATCTGTAACATTATGAAGAGCGTATGAGAAATCTGAGCTGATACCTTCAGGAGTGATGCAACCTCCATTTAGTGAACGAACGTCAATATGTTGAGCTGGAATCATGAATGGATCTTCCTTACTGAATAAACGTGGTATTGCTTTAACTGATTCTTCAATTAAACCGTATCCTGGTGTAATGCATTTATCCTCTAAAACTTCCATCTTTGTGCATGAAATAATAACGTCATCAACTGTTGCGTCAGCAGATGTAGCGGCTAAGCTTGTAATTAATTTGGTAGGAAGTCCGATTTGTTGGAATTTGCGATCATATTTATAAACATGATTCATAATCTTTTCATAATTTTCATCAGTTATCTTTTCATAAACATAATTTTGTAAATCAGCAACTCTTAACGGGTCAACCTGACAAAATACTAAAGTATCCCTGAAAACATAATATTTAAGAATGATTTCACCAAATGATTTAGGATAATCATCGAACGCCTGAAATGCTAACAAATCATTTACCGGAATAATCATATCAAAAGTGACATCAACTTCTTCATTTGCTTTCTTGAAAACTTCTGAAGGGTCAATATATTTACCACATACTGAGTTATCATATTTTTGAACATTATTATATAACGAATGAACAAACTTTTTAACTTTCCTTTCTGATTTTGGTTTATATGTTGCAAATGCGAAAGATTCACGGGCGCAATCCATCTGAAGATAACCGGCATCACCTCTTTCGGTTTCTACTTCTAATTGTTTAAAGCTTTGATTTGATGATTTGTAACCAACGAATAAACGCATGCATTTAAAAGCGGCATCACATGTGAAAGCTTTATTTGAAACTAGAGTTGCTTTAACTTTGCGTTTAATATATGTGTCACCTAATTGGTTCACATCATGAGCCGGATTTGTAATTCTTAAATGAGTTTGTTTATCATCAAAATATGGAGCATCAGAGTCATAGCATGAACTTTCAAGTTCTCTATAATATCTTCTACCGTCATTCTTTGCGAATATTTCATTTATCTTTTCGAATGAATGAAACACATTTCCATTAATCGGTTTAGTGTTTGGCACCAAATAGTTAGTCGTCATTTATTAATAAATAAAAAATCAAAATTAAAAGATGAAAATGAATTTTTAATTTTAATGAAATAATCAATTATGGCTGCAGGTATATTTAAGAAACTGTGGGATAAAGTAAAAAGAGGAGCGCATAAAGTTTGGGAAACAATGAAGAAAGGAGCAAATTGGATATTTAAGAATAAAGAAGCAATTAGTGACGTTGCTGAATCAATAACGCCAAAAGCTGCCCCAATAAGAGAAATATTAAATAAAGGAGAAAAAGTTTATCAAAGACTTCAACCGATACTAAGATAAAAATAATATTTATTTTTCCACTATCTACCCCCTATTTTATTAAGTATTCCTTCAGCAATTCCACCAATTGCGTTACCTGCTTGTGCTCCCATCGCCGGATTACCTGCTTTAGTACCTAATACTCCACCTATGATAGTTCCTGCCGTTTTCGCTACTGGTGCCAAAAAGTTTGCAATGGGTTTAATAATCTTTTTATGAACCCAACCCGCAGCTTTCTTAATTCCATCCCATAATTTTTTAAAGAATCCTGCCGCCATTTCTGATTTAATATTAATTAAAAAATATATTTCATCACTTATATTCTAATTTTTATTTAATGATAAATGAAACCGATTTTAAAAATAAATGAAATAGAGGAGGAAGAAATAAATGAAAGTGAAAATGTTCAACAAAAAATAAACGTTGTTAAACCAATTACTGAAATAAAAATTTTTAAATCTGTTGAAGAATTTAATGACTATTATGCTAATAATAAAAAATTATTTGAAGAATTGACAACATGTAAATTGAATAAAATGTTTAAAGTTGATGGATTCAAAATTTCAAAAATAAAAGGAGTGGTTAGTTTGAAATCTATTCCTCAATCAAGAATCACCTCATTAATGAAAATAGATGATTTAACAAAAAGAATAGAAGAGATTGAAGAAAGAATGAATCAAATAATTGATTTCATAAATTCAAATAATCATTAGCTTATTTTGGCTTTCATATTTTTTTAATAATTCACAATCTTCATTTTTAAATTGAAGTTTGACCCATTCAGGATTTAAACAATGTTTAATTAATCGCGGAATATCTGACATCATCTATATATAGCTTCTTTTATAAAAGATAAAAAATAAATTATTTTAAAATTAATGTTAATTTTTTAATGATTTATTTCATTATGTCGCGCTTTCTTACGAATTAAAAATAAATTATTCAAAAATGTAAGACATGAATTTTTAAAGTTTATTTTATTCATGAAAATAATTATTTCTAATTTCTTTTACTCTCTCGTACATACTAGATTTGAAGAATTCAGAACATTTCCCATAATCTCCTAAGTGTTTTCTTATCTTATTGGTTTTCCATTCATTATATGAAACTGTATAAACTTTATCTTTATCTTTGCATCTTTCATCACTTCCAATATATTTATATTTCAATTTTGATTTATTGGTTTCATATTCATTAACGTTTAATAATTCACAGTCTTCCTTTTTAAATAAATGTTTTATGTATTCAGGATTAACAATTCTATAATATTGCTTCCCTTTAAATCTTTGAATATAAACAGGAACACCATCCTCTAAAATTCGATAATCTATTTTATCTGGTTTTACTTGTTGGGTCATTTATGTAAGAATAAAAAAATAAATTATTTTAAAATTAATGCATCGTAAAATCGCTCGATATTGTATGAATTCTTACGTTTACAAAAAAAGTCACAAAACCCATCCTATCCTACTACTATCAAAGAAATGAAATTCAAAATGGCAAATTAATTTTTTAATATATAGATTAAGTTTACTATTGTTTGTACATGCAATTGGTTTGAAAATAGAAGTTTTAATAAAATTTATCATCAGCATAAGGATTAAGTGGCTCGTGTGGTTGAATAGGACCACTCGGCTGTTGTGATGGATATGAATACTGTGGTGCAGCAACATTTGTTGGAGGAGGTGGGTAGTATAATTGTTGCTGATTAGGTGGAGGCACATTTGGATATTGTGGTTCCGTATATTGTGGATCAGGATATTCTGGATCCTTCTTCTCATAGATCGTTGACTCTGTGATTTGATCACGATCTGGACCAACTGGGGAAGGCGTTGCTTTATTACGGCGGCGCTTAATACATCTCCAAATGAAATAGGCAATGACGCCAAAGAATATTAATCCAGCAATAGAGCATAATGCAATTGCCCAACCTGGTAAAACATAAGCACTTGGCCATTCGCCAGTATTGATTATGATATAAGAATCGCTGCTTATAGAATAGGAATTATATTCTGGTGTGCTTCCTGTGATAGCGTAGTTAATGGATGTATCATTTTGATATCTTTTTGCATCATTCTTAAACCATTCATCTCTAGACCCATCTTCATTAGTGAATATAGAATAAATCGGAAAATCAAATTTGTCATCTTCAGAGGAAACTGGAGAACCATCGTAGCTGAAAATCTCTAGATTTCCATGATCACCTTTTGAAACTTGAACTTGAGCAGAATCGAATGCTGAAACCATGCACTTGGAATAGCTTGTATTGTAATTAAGGCTATACCACCTTTCACCTGATAAAGTGACAATATAATGGCAATTTGGTGAAAAGTTATATACAACAAATGTTGCTAAACCATTATTACGTGATGTTGAATTGATTTGGAGAATACCTGTGTCATTGAAAAGAATTGAAACAATTCTTGTATTTCCAAGAATATCCAATTGTACGTTACCGCTTGAAACATAACCTCTAACATCTCTCCAATTAGTGAACACAACATATGAGCCAGCAGTGATGTTGTAATAGGTAGGTTTAGAATTGTATTTATCAGTATAGATATCTGGAATAAGATATGGAAACTGTGGTGCTGTTGTATTCACAGGTGTTGAAGAGAAATAAGAAGCCTTTGAGTTATCATACAGAATAGTTGTGGTTGATGAACTTGATGAGTCAAGAGCAAAACTAATGTTTGCTTTGTATTTTGATCTTTCTGATGTAGAATATGTCATTACAAATGAGTAAGTAGATTCTAATGTCATTGTTTCACTTTCATTTACTTCAAGTCCATCATTTAAGCTATAATTTGAATAAGAAAGTGTTCCTTTTATATTGGAGAAAGTTACATCAAAAGTGTCTGAACCTGACACAACTAAACAATAAACCTTTTTAGATTTTAATGATTTTGTCGATGATGAGTACTCGTATTCTGCACCATTTTGTGGATTAAACATGAATTCAAGTGTGTAGCATGTATCTGGAACAGTAACAACACTAAAATATAATGTGGTGAGAGAACTAACGGTAAATCTAAAAATTCTGTTTGTTATAAGGAATACGTTGGATGAAATACTTTCATTATTTAAAACAAGATAATTTGGTGGATTTGATAATATAACATATGAAGAATAACCTTCGATAGATGGTAATTTAAACTTGATATCCTCTTTGAGTGATTCGAATGTAATATTATAGTTTCCTTCTGTTGAAATAACATATTTTGCACTGAGGCTTAAAGACACTAAAAGGGGAAGCATTTATATAATATTGAATGATCCAAAATTTCCCTTTTCAATTTTTTGAAAAATTTCCGTCGGTGAAAATTCTAGTAACTACCAAGCAATTTATATTTACGTATAATAAATTTGAATCGCTGTTGGATTGTTGAGGTTAATTTGAATATATTCTCAAAATTTGAAAGAAATATCAATTGGATTGGTAAAATTTTTCAAAGAGAAAAAAATCACAATCGTCAAAAAAAATTGAGAAAATAACACCGGGAAAAAGATGATTGCAGATCATGTAATTGTTTCAAAGGTCACTTTTTAAATGCACCAACACCGGGAAAACAAGTCGAAATGAGTTGAGGAATTAAATTAATTCCCATTATCTTGTCATTACTCATTGGATCATTAATATGTATTTAGCACACTCATTATAACTCCTTCAAATAGAAATATTAGAAATTGAATTAATACTTCTTTGCTTATTCCATGGTAAATGGAATGTCTTCAGTCATGCTGTATTAGGCCATCTAAAGTGTACCAGCTTCACATCAAAATTTAGTTAAAAGAATTTTATAAATTGCTCTTGAGATAAATTACATAAAAAAACAAGTTCATACATAATCACACAGCACGATTCAATATAATTAAACAACTTTGAAACTAGTAGACATAAGTTTTAAGGATGATCAATAATTTCTTCGTTATTTGAGTTTTCTTGAATAAAATTAGTAAGCTCAATTACTTTTTCCGCTTCATCAGATACTTCATTGAAGTCTTCATCGGAAATATTAGAAAGATTGCCAATTTCCTTTTTTATGATCAGAGAATCAGGCAATTCAATATTAAAAAAAAAAAAAAAAAAAAAGGTAGTGGGGCTTCCAGGCGCGTTGCGCCCTCTAGCCCTGAAGATGTTTAGTATAATTGAAGTTTTTATTCGGAAAATTGTTAGTCTTCTGGGTCGAAAACATTATATAATGTGTCGCTTTTCACAAATTATATATGTTTTCATGTTTTTGTCAAGACTTCATCGTAATGAGTGTAAAGGACCCAAAAATATAATTTAGGGTAGAAGGTTAGATCTAACCTCTTTTCTAACCTCTTTTCTACCCTCTTGAATTTGTCATGATTTCTTCGTAAATGTTTTGTCAAACATGAACGTACATGTTTTGTCAAGACTTCATCGTAATGAGTGTAAAGGACCCAAAAATATAATTTAGGGTAGAAGGTTAGATCTAACCTCTTTTCTAACCTCTTTTCTACCCTCTTGAATTTGTCATGATTTCTTCGTAAATGTTTTGTCAAACATGAACGTACATGTTTTGTCAAGACTTCTTCTTCGTAATGAGTGTAAATGACCAAAAATATAATTTAGGGTAGAAGGTTAGATCTAACCTCTTTTCTAACCTCTTTTCTACCCTCTTGAATTTTCATGATTTCTTCGTCATAGGCACGGAGATAAGACGGTTATTTTACAAAACTGACAACACTTTGACCGAGTAGTTTTTTGTGCTGAACAAAAGTGTCATATAAACATCTGTCAAAAACCGCTTTTTAACTTCACTTAAAATGCCACGTAAGCTACGTAAGAATATACGTAAGAGGAAGGGAGCATTGAAACATCCAATAGTAAAACTAACACCACAACAACAGTTGCAACAACAAATTATGAATGACCCCACTATGTTGCAACAAATGTCAAGCAACCCTATGCTTTTAAACCGAGTTATTGGTGCACAGAGTGGAGGTTTAAGAGCGGCACTTTTAGCGAAAATGGCAGGCTATGGTGGAGCTGCAGACGGAACAGCTTATAACCCTCAAAGTCAAATGAATTTGAGTTCACTCAAAAATCAAATAACAGATGTCAAAAAGTCAAACATAGACATACAGAAACAAATAAGTGAAAACGAAAAGAAACTAGAATATGACAGACACACAAAGAAACTCAATGAGTTAAACGTAGAGAAAAAGAAGAAAGAAGAACAACTGAAAGAACTAAGTACAGAGGAATATGCGAAAAAAGTGTCAGAAAAAGCAGCAGAAGTAGCAAAAATGGAACAAGATGTTATAAATTTGAAAAACCATACTACTCAATATAAAGTACTGAAAGATGAAGAAATAAAACAAAAAGCCCTGAAGACATATATGGATAGCGATGAGTATAAAAAAGAAGTTGAAGCAAATGTAAAGGCAGAAAAACTTTTACAGTTGCAAAACCAAACCGTACAGTATGAAAACTTAGCACAAGAAAGTAAAAATAACGACGAAGCCATGCAAAAGGCAATGAAAAGCGCAGAATATATAAAAGCTAATAATGACTGGTTAGATGCCCAAGCCAACGCTAAAGCAGCCCAACTTATAGGGTCAATAAGGACAAAAATACAAGCGGATGAAGACAGTTCAAATGAACATTTAATGAATGCTGACTTTAAGAACGCCTTCGAAGCTCTTCATAGTAAGGTGAAACTAGTGAACGACTTCTCATCTGGAAAGAAACTGAAGTCTGAAGGTTTCGACAACGAGTTAAGAGAAGTAGCACAAAATATGACGAAAATAACAGATGCAGCAACGAGACAGGCAGTTCAAAGTGCCTATGACGCCGTTAGAGCAACTGTTGTGGAAAGTCAAGAAAAAGAGTTACAACAGACCAAAACAGACCTAGTAAATGCTTTCTTAAAAACGAAAAGTCAGGTAGGACATTATGCTGCAGATGGAACATATGTGCCAGCTGGTGGAACTTATATACCACCAAACCCTCCAAGAGAAGCACCTGCACCAGGACTACCTAAAACATTTACATCGTCACATGGACACAGACACAGGCAGGCACCAAAACCAACAGTTCAAAACACTGCACCACAACCAACAGTTCAAAACACTGCACCACAACCAACAGTTCAAAATCCAGCACCACAACCAACAGTTCAAAACACTGCACCACAACCAACAGTTCAAAACACTGCACCACAACCAACAGTTCAAAACACTGCACCACAACCACCTCCACAACCAGCACAGCAACAACCACAAACAGAGCAAGGACATAAAAGAAGTAGAGAACAAGGAAACCAAGAATTCTTAAAAATGCTTAAGGAAGACTATGGTTACCCAGATACTCTTGACTTTAGTGACAGATATAAAGAAGCTATTAGAAAGTTCAAGGAAGGAAATACTGACCCGAACCTATTTAGCTTTATGGTTCAGCACCAAATGGGATATAATTTCAAACCTGGAAAATACAAGCTCGCTAAGGGATATGATTTAATAGCATATCATCCAAATGACATGACTGAATTTACTCCGAGATATTTGGTGTCAGAGCTAAATGATAATTCAACTCTCTTCATGAAACGCGTAAAAAATAGAGACGGAACGAAAGAAGAAAGGTTTATGAGTCCGGATGACTTAGATAGGGAACTTTTTAAAAACGGTCTCGGAATATATGAAATGCCAGCAGATGAGGTACAAGAAACTCCACAGGAAGAAGTTCAGATACAACCAGACATGGAAGAAATAGTTCAGCAACAACAGCTAGAAGAGCCTGAAGGAAACAAACAAGTCCCTCCTTTGGAAACTAACTTCACAGAACTAGATGAAGATTTGGAACAGCCGAAAAATCTTGACCCTCAACAAGAATATGCGGAGAATATGGAATCTTTCCAAGAGTCTAAGAAAAATTCAGCTGACATAGTAGAAGAATATCGAAAAATGTTCGCCGACATACAAAAGACTCCAACATCAGATGAAAATATCCAGCATAGAATGGAAGTACTGAAAGATAATGTACACAAATACAACAATCCTTTTTACTTACGAGCATATAACGTTCAATCTTTGGATGAACTCGGTGAAAATAAAAGGTTAAATTTCAACAAAACATATAGAAATGAAACATTGTTTAAAGTTCATTCAGAACCTAGCCAATATGGAAACAAACCTACTTTTGTTTCTGCAGACGATGGAACTACAATGAGATGGGGTCATAAAGCTAATCCGGATAGGTGGTTCATAAACTTACAACCACAATTCCAAGAAGTTGTAGACGCAATGGAAGTGAATGGTGAACCAGATGTAGCTGGTATTTTCAGCGCGGCTTTAATGCCATTGAAAGATATGAAAGATGCAGATATTTTGGACCAGTATGAAATGAACATGGCTGATGGAAATATAACACCTGACGTTCTAGAACATTTATCTCAAAGAACTACACAGAACCATAGAGATGGTATATTTGGTGAAGAGTTTAGAAAGAAAGTTAGGGAGAGAGAAGGAAGAGAACCTATTGTACATGACCTTGCAAACGAAAGTTTACAAAATGTCATAAAAACTTACTTTGCAGACAATGAACCGAGAAGGGATGAATATTTAAGAAAACTCAAATGGACAGTACCAAATGAAATGTTAGTATTGAAAAACATGTTCCTTGACAAAATAAAACCAACTACAGAAATAAATGACGCAAGACTGAAACATTGGGTAAAAGCTTTCCCATTCACAAAAGATATTGTTGGTAACATGGAAAGAAAACCAGAATGGCTACAAAAACATATATTTGGAAACGAGCACATCCCATATGGGCAAGCACTGTTTGAAGAGCTTGAACCGGAAACTCAGGAAAGAGTCATGCAAACAATACGCGAAGACTCAAATACAAACTATGACAAAATCTTTCTAGGATATAGGTTACCTGAGTTGGGCGACCAGAGCCCAAAGGCAAAAAGGACATGGGAAATTTACAACATACTAGGTGAACATGAGGCAAAGATGCAACAACTTGAAGCAGAGGGCAAGTTACCAAAAGCGACACCAAAGAAGAAGAGTAGAACAAAGTAAAGCTTGGTACGAGTGGGTTCTATTATGATATATAAATCCAACTATTCTATATTTTTACCCATATGAAATGTACGCCGCTCAGAATATAACGCCAACAGTTTTGGATGCCATGAACGGAAATGTTTCCGAATGGTATAACGAATGCGACAATGCCATTAGAAGGTCAGAAATAGTTCCTGGAACTTACGAATATACAACTGCTGTTTCTTATGGAAACGTAGGTGAGTTTGGAGAAGGTTCTTCAACAACAGTAGATATTGCTTGCGACAGGTTTCATATTATTTCTATTGACAACTCATTCTTATACGTGGAACAAGACATTGAAATAAAACCTTCTGCCAAGTTGTCTGACAAGAAAGGTTGCAATGGAATTTTCTATGTCGGATACCAATATGCTCCAGAAGTTTTCATGGGATATAAGATATATTCTAACTCTGACTTAGTTCAAACAGTAACATGGGCAAACTATGAATGGTTCGCTTTGAGAAACTCAGTACAACCACAAGCTAGAGAACAAACAGACCAGTATGCAAATATTGAGAAAATAAGAAGACTTGACCCTAACGTTCCAGGAGTTTATGTTAACCTTTCTGGTTCAGATGGAAATGCTGCCACTAAAGTAAAACTGAAACTTAGAGTTCCTTTGTCATCTTTCCTCATCTTCAGGTTTTTAAGATACTTGCCAAACTGGGCAGGAAAAATTTCTATTGAACTTACTCCAAGCAAAAATAACTTAGTCATTGCACCAACACAAGACCCATTCAGCATTACTGTAGCTGGAACTGGTGGAGCCAAGTTCTGTGACTTTTGCAAAGACAAGGTTGACTTAGACTTTGGTTTCTCAAACTTCAACAATGAAGTAAACTATTATTTCAATGCTGCTGGAACTGCTTGGGACCCAGTTAAGTTCACATGCGAAAAGTTTGAATGCAAGAGAATAGAAAGCAGACTTGCAGTCTATATGTTGGACCCAGATTTCAAATGCTTTAGCTGCCAAATATATTGCAGTTCCACTTATGTTCCCTATACACCAAATATCTGTCAAAGACTTTGCAGGTGAAGTTGGAAACCAAAGTGCTGACCCAGGTGCAAGAACAGATATTGCTTTAACAACTGCAATGAAACATGCAGATACTATGTTTGTACTGTTCAGACGAACTATAAATGACTATTCTTGTTTCTACAACCCCGGTATTAAATATCATATAAACATAGATGGCAAATATTATCCAAGAGAAGAATATTCTACAGTTGAGGATATGAGGTCATACAACTTGACATTAGATGCTATGAACTTTAACACAACTTCACAACAACCATTAACCCTGAAATGCAAAGTTCTATTATGCCATATGTGAAAGTATGGACTCATACAGGAGGTCAAAAAACTCAATATACAAATGGAGACCGTTCAAACTTTTGGCTTGGCATTCCATTTGCTGACTCAGAAGACTTTATGGGTGGTATTTCAACTGTTGGTACAGTTCAAATACAATATACTGGTGACAGAGACGGTCCAGATGAACTGAGAGCAAAGAAGTTTACAAAACCAATAGCACTTTTCACGGAAGATGCTCTTTTGAAGATTCGTTCGATGAAACCTGCTGGGGCTCCTCAGATTGGCATAACGACAGCTTCCATCGAGCAGATTTTGGCAGCAGGTCAGTAAGTTGTTCTTGAACTGACTTCTCTCCGTCAAATATTGACAGTACGCCAGTTTTGACATAATATTGTAAGATAAACTTACTTTTAGAAATATCTGTAAGTTTTGTTGTTATATTTTTGTCTGCTTCAAGAACTTTCACCATTTCAGTTATACCAACTTTCTTTGCTTTATGGAAATATTTTGGTTCAGCAAAGACTGCTATTCTATAACATTTTCCATTGTTTGTGTAAAGAACTATTCTGTCAATGTATTTGTATTGTTTGTGTGTGTAAACTTTGTTTTGCTTCAATTCAAAGAGATATCCGAATACGTCCATCTTTTTATTCTAAGTAAAATGTCATTTCCGAAAAATAGAAGCGTGAGTGTTTCAAAAGGTTTAATGGCGGTGGCAGATGTGAAGTTAAATTCACCAACTCAAACAAACAGTCAAAGTGTTGTTGTCAATGTCAAAGACAGAGATGTTGAAGTGGGGAAACCATACGAAGACGAAGATGGTATAACAATTGTTCCTGTAAAAGAACAACCAACATATCCTGAAGTTAGCAGAGACTTAAGTTCTGTTGCAGATATTCGAAACGACTACCAACAACTGAAAGACAAACTTCAAACTCAGGAGAAGATTTGTCAAGCTTTAAGTATAATGTTAAACTTGGTCGAACACAACCCTGTAAAAGTGAACTCATATGTCATTGCACCTCATGAAGTTTTGAAAGAACTATTGAAACTTTTGACAGAGGCAGACGATATAAACATCAAAGAAATAGAACCCGACATTAGTTGCTGTGGTGTTTCATATAATGTCATTGACAAGATATACGTTATGAAAGGAGGTGAAACGTTGAACTTAAAGTATAGTTTCCCAGACGTCATAAAAATATTTGACGACCACAACATTTCATTAAAATTTATTTGCTAAAGTAAAAATGTCAAAACTTCTTGAAAGATGTTTGAAGAAAAATAATATAGACTTTATTTCATGTAAAGGACTTTACACACTTTTGAACGATATGAAAGACCCTGTTTTGTTTGTTCGTGTAGACAAAGGAAAGTTCTATGTCTTTACAAAATATTTGAACTTCTTAGACAGAGAACTTCAAGAAACGCCATGTGAAAGTTTAGATGAAGTTCTTCTCCACTTTCAGAAAAACTTTTAAATATATATAAATGGCAGAAGATATAATGGTTTATACTATTACGACTAAAAACCCTGAGTCATATAATTCTATAACAACAAACTTACAAAGTCCTCAAGGACGATATTGTAAACTAACTTTAAACACAATGACGACTAAAAGCCTGTTTTGCTCTTTTGACACCAGAAGACTTTATTGTTGTGAATGGTAAAAAATACTCCTTTGAAGATACTTACTCAGATATACCACCAACAGGTTTTGTTGACTTATTTAATACTTTAAGTACAGGTGTAACATGTGCTGCAACTAGAGCAGGTTTCATTATGTTTGGATGTCCGACTGAGTTTACTATAAACAATATGAGCTATAATACAAAACTTATTTCTGGTTTTTACTACCAACAGTTTCCTATAACAGGAAAAAGGTGTCATACAAGGAATGTCTATTCCATTGACATTAAGCACACCAATCTTATATATTGTTTCAAACTTAGGTTCAAAGTGTTATTCGAATGTCGACAGAAACTATTATGACCAAAAGATACTTATGCGTATAAACAATACTTTCTCTGCTGGTTTGCCTATTGTTCATTCGAATGCAGAATTTTCAACCTTAGTGAACTCAAACACTTTGGCAAGTATAACGTTGACATTAGTTGACGCAAACTTTGTTCCTGTAAAACTTTTATGTCCTATGTATTTGTCAATGACGGCAGAAAGTTTCGAATTGGAAGATGCAACTGGTGAAAGTATTGTATTACAAGAACAACTTCAACAACAAATAGCTCCAGAAAAACAAATGCAACAAATGGAACAACAAAGTCAAGAATAAAAAAATATTTTTTTTATTTTTATAAAATGTACAGAATAGATGTTTCAGATTTTTATGACTTCCAAGCATTCAGAAATATGTGTCCATTTCGAGACTATAACAAAGCAGTCGAGAATTTGAAACGTTTAGTCATTTATGTCGACTCTGCCCCAGAATGTTATGTTATGAAAGAATGGGATGTTGTCTTTAACAAACCAAGAGCAACAATAGTGTCTGAACAAGAATGTAGACAGAAACTTAAGAAAATAAAAGTTGTACAAGTTGGAATGAAGATGTTAGATGCTTGGGATATCTTATTGTCAAAGTTAGAAGATTTTTCAGTTCGAGGTATAAAGTTTTATACACCTTCTCCAAAACTTCTATTCTATCTTCACTGGATATAAATATGAACAAGTAGAATGGAAAGAAAATATTATAGAAGCTTGGTTAGACCATGTCAAAGAAATTATATGCAATGGAAACGAAAGAGTCTATGAGTATAT